AGCTCCGGGCGCCTCTGGCGGCGCTTAGTGACCCTGGCGCCCCCTACAGCCCGCCAGGCGGCTCGCAGGCTGGGCGGTGGATTTAGGAGCCGCGCTCCTCACGCCGGCGGCCGCGACAGGCGTGGCTCCTCCCACCGTCAATGCGATTGGTCGAGGGCGGGCACGTGACGCTGGCCAGGCGCGCGGGGCCCGGTGTGCGAAGACCACCGGAGTCCCGGCCGCCGGCCTGCTGCGGCCCCCGCGTCACCCCGGAAGGGCGGCAGGGTCCGCGGGTACCGCCGGCCGGGGTGGCTGCAGGGAGGGCCAGGGCGCTGGACCCTCCCGGGAGCCGGGCCTGGCCTCCCCGCAGCCCTTTCCCCCCGGGGGCTTGGTGTCCCCGCCCCGCCCTCCCGGCCTCTGCAGGACCCTCCTGCCCGCTCGCTCCCCGCGCCCAGGGCCGTCCCTCCCTCTCTTCCACCCGGGCAGCAACAGCGGGAGCGCCCCACCCGCCCTCCGCACAGCTACTCCCCAGGTCTTCCCTCGCGCCCCAAAGCTCGGACGCGGTGCTCTGGGCTGGCTCTTCCCGACGGTGGGCAGGGACCCGCTGGCACCGGGGAGGAAGGCAGGCTGGATTCAGGGATCCCCGCGGGGCCGTCCCCGCCGCGGAGGCCCTCAGCTGGGGGGGGGGGCGCGAGGAGGGGGCGTGCGGGCAGGAGCAGGACGTGCGGAGCGACCGGGTGTGAAGGCCCTGCCCACGAGCCGGAGGGAGCGGGTGGGTCCCCTCCGTGGCGGGCTATGTCCAGCCCTGTCCCCCAGGCAGGGGGCCTGGCCCACCTGTCCACGAGCGGCCGTGTGGGCAGGGAGCGCGGGCACCCCGCAAGAAGGGCCCACAGTTCCGGGACAGGGCCAACGACGTACCTGTGGGACCACCGGCGCTGGGGGCCTGGGACACAGCACCCTCGCATCCTGGCAAGGCCCGTGGGCTCCCAGGACAGTGCTCCTCTGGCCTTCCCTGGGGGCCCCCAACCGCCACTGCCAATCAGAGGTAAGTTTGTATACGTTTTTTACAAACATTTATACATTTATACAAACTGAGCCACCCAGGCTCAGTCGGCTGGGTTTTGGCTGAGGTCATGATCTCAGGGTTGTGGGATTGACCCTGCATTGGGATCCGTGCTGGATGTGGGGCCTGCTTAAGATTCTCTCTCTGACGCTCTGCCCCCCCACCCTCGCGCTCTCGAGCTCCCTCTCTCTCAAATAAAATATTTTTTTTCCTTCTAAGGTATTAAAAATCACCTATTACAGTTAAAAGACAAAATAGAAATTATAATTAACATCTTTACCTAAAAACAGTTCACTTAGAACTACGGTTATTTCACCTAGTTTGTGACAATGAGAGCTCAATAAATATTTTTGTGGAAATAAGATGCATGACAGCTGCCCCCCCCCCCAGACCTGCTGTTGGGGACACCCAGAGGGACAGGCCTGGGCTGCTGTGGGGCCTCAGCCCTGTGGTCACGTGGGAGGGTCTCTGGCGCCGCCCTTTGGACCTGCAGTCCTTCCAGAAGCATCCTTCCCCGGAATCCCTGAGATGATATGTTTGAACTCTCCCACACCCCAGAGCGGAGCCCCTCATTCCCCGTTTGGGGGCTGTGGGGCCGGGCATGCAGGGGGCTCTCTGAGCCACGGCCCCACCTGATACAAGTGTGCGGACACTCCGGCGGGTGGCCAGTGGGTCTCTGGGTCGTAGGGCCCACGGGGAGGCTATAGTTTCCTTTGCTCTTCTCCCTCAAAGCCCTGGCGGCCAAGGCCCCCTGCCTTCCCCTCTTCTCCGCAGCCATATATGTCTGCCTTTCTGGGAGGCCAGTTCCAAGGGACACAGGGTGGGCACTGCCCAGTCTGTGGGGTCGGGCATGGTCCCCACCCACTGGAGACATGGAGCCCATACAAGGCTGCTGCTGGCTCTTCCTAGCAACCACCCACCCCAGTCCTCCTGGTCTGGGCTGAGCCAGGCGGCCAAGTGGGCATGCAGCGGTGGGACCAGATAGTGGTCCCTACAGCTCACCTGGGATGTCCTGGTGCTCACCCCTACTCCCTGGCAGCCCGGGGAGGAGATGGGGGCCAGTGGGGGTCCAGCTCCCAGGCACCCCCTCAGCCTCACCAGCAGTCAGTGGTGAGCTCTGGGCCTCGAGATGCCAGGAACAGGGAGCCGTCCCACCGGTGTGCCCAGCGTCGAGAAACGCTCATCAGATGGATGCCCAGGGCCCCAAGACAGCGTGGCTTGGGGCCAGTTCCAGGCCGAGCTTTGGCCAAGCTAATGCACATTTCCTTGAATGGACCTTCCAGCTCCAGTCTGGCCCCAGCCTAGGGCTGCCATTTGCCCTCAGACCCTCCCCAAGTTCTCCTGAAGGGAGGCCACCCCCCACCCCCAGTCCTGGTTCCTGCGGGGACAGTGGGAGGGCTGGGGGTGAGGCGTGCCCATTTCTCCAGGATGGGCAAGTGCGTGCCAGGCGTGTTTGTTCAGAAGCACCCCAGGGTGCTGACTCACAGCCATGTGGGCTTGGATCTTGCCCAGCAAGGCTTGGGGAGGCCAAGGAGGGAGTAAAGGGAGAAAGCTGGCCCCCCACACCGTCCCAGAGCAGGGCGCCTCCAGGCCCCTCAGGGCACCGAGTGGGCTAGCGTGGGGGCACAGTGTGCACCCCCAAGTCATCAGAGCTGTTGAAATTGGCCAGTGCCCTCTAGCAAATGGAGGAGATGGTTTAACGAGATGGGGAGTGGGGGGTGTTGGCAGGACCTGGAGAGTGTTCTCACCAGCAGGGGCCCAGCGGAGTGGGCTCCCGGCGCAGGGTGAGGGCCACGGCTCCCTCCCCTAGCCCTGGGGCAGCTGTCCACCCTGTGGGACGCCCTGGGCAGACCCTGACCCTGGGGGGGGGGGGGGGGCTGCATGCTGGGCAACTCAAAATTGTTTGTTTCAAGTGCCCTTTGCCCTCTTGGAGTAGCTCTGTTTCCTCTAGGTCAGTCCCCCAGTCCTGATTCTTCTCTTGCAGTGATTTCCCCAGTGTCTGGGACCCCCAGTGAGGGTCCGGCAGGTCGGCCAGGCCCCAGGCTGTGGGAAGCATGTGCAGTCTACCCTGGGGGGCAGTGGGGATCCCCCGGAGGCAGACCTTCCCCAGCACTCCACGTCCCCCCAACAGTCTGGCATCACTTGTTCCTCCAGGCAGCCATTGCCCAGGGCGGGGAGGGGACACCATTACCCCATTTTCAGCCGACCCCCCCGCCTCCATCTCCCATGGGCCTTGGAGTTCCCTCATTCCAGAAGGTTCTCTACAGAGCAAAGCACACACTCGCCTTCCTCATAGCCGGTAACCTTGGTCAGATCCTGGGTGTGGACTCCCCCACCTGTGCACCAAACTCCTGTGCTCACCCCAACCTAGCGCCTGAATTAGGCTGGCTGCTTCCTCCATTTTGGGATAGACCCTTCTCCCTCCCCCCTTCCCCCCTCCCCTGGCACGTGTGCATCTGCGCACACACACACACACACACACACACACACACTTATTCTCCCTGCCTGGGTAAGCTCACCATCTACCCCGAGGGGCACCTGGCTGCCTGACGCCAGGACTCAACTCAGCCTGCTCCCAGGCCCGTCCCCTGCCAGCGCTCGGGCCAGCCATAGGGCCAGCCCGGCCTCCTGTCTCTCTAAGCCATTGCCAACTCACTGCAGACCCAGGCACCACATCCAGGAACGGGGAGGGGGTCTGCCTGCCCCCTTCCCAGTGGCCTGTCCTGCCTCAGGCCAGAGGGCCACTGGTACTCTGGACCCGTGCCTCCCAGGAGGAGCTCAGGGTCAGCGGGGGACCAGGAGAACCTGTGTGTAGGGCTCCTCGTCCCCCTAGGAAAGGCCCCCCACCATCTGGGCAGGGGGCAGGCTCCGGTCCTGGGCCTACCCAGGGCGGCCCAGCAAGGCCAGCAGGGCACGTGTGCTCACAGACTGGGAGCAGGGAAGGGCAGCTGGGACCATAGTGCAGGGGCCCAACTGAGAAGCCGAGACTGGGGCACAGGGACAGCAGGGCAGTGGATGCTTCCAGACCTTGAAAAGGAGCCATTTCCACCCTGCCTCCCCATTTGACCAGGGGAGGAGCCCCTTCCCTCTCCAGCCCACCCCGGGGGGGAGCAGTCCCACATGCTCATGAGAAGACAGGCCGGCAGAGGCCCCCGTCCAGGTCCAACACGGAAGGGAAGGAGTCAGTGGCCAAGCTGGACAGCGTTTAATGAAGATTCTGCTCCTGAGCTCCGTGGGTGATGGGCAGCTTCGGGGCACACACGGGAGAGCGTCCCCCCATGGGGTGGCCCTGACCCCATGCGGCCCCGGGGCTCAGTGAGTAGGGTAGCAGGTGCCAACCCCTTCAGGATCTTCACTCCTTCTAAGGTCAGGGCTGCCACCTGGACTCACCTTGTTTCTGGGGCACAGAGACGAGACTCAGCCAGTGAAGGAGCTGAGGGGTGCCCCCCTCACTGCACCACCCGGCCAGCACTGGCCACTCACCATCTAGGACGTGGAACTGGTCTGCGGCCTCGCAGAAACCTGAAGGCCCAAGCAGGGGTCAGGAGTGGCCAGGGCAGGGCACAGGGGGAGGACAAGGCCGGCCACTGGGGGAGGCTTACCATACTTGGGGAAGAACAAGGTATGGTCCTCGGTCAGGTTGGCCCTCCGGATCCCCTGCTCAAATGCACTCAGGGCCGAGTCACTTGCCGGGAACGAGCGGGCTGTGGGGCACACAAGGCTCCTGGGCACGCGGTGAGGGAGCAGGCGGGGCATGCGGGGCACAGGGTCTGTGTGCTTGCGACACCCCCAGCCCCTCCCCTCTGCCCCCGACAGCTGGGCCTATCGGCAGGGGCTCCTCCCCAGACCCCTCCTCAGCTGCGGAGGGTCAGAATACAGGGAGGGTCCGTGTGTCCCCCTGGGCTCGCCCCCCACGGACGGCGCTGAGTGTGTGCGAAGCGTGGGCTCCCGCGTGGACGCACCATACAGCTTCACCGACAGCCGCCGCTTCTGCTCCAGGTACAGGACAGCGAAGCCCTGGTAGTCTGTCTCCCCGACGATCACGTCCACTGCCCTGCGGGCACCTCGGGCTGGGCAGAGCCGAGTCAGCCAAGTCAGCTTCTGGCCCCTCAGCCCCGCACCCCAGCCCCTGATGCCCTGGCCTCACCGTGGAGCAGGAAGCGGCCGGGGACTCCCGTGTCTCGGTAGAGCTGCTGCACCTGCCAGCATATCCCATCCCTGGGGAGGGCGGGGGTGAGCACAGAAGGCTTAGGGACCCCAAGCCGGGCAGGGCCTTGCAGGACTCTAAGTCCAGGCCACATCAAGGGTGGGGGCGGGGGTCCCTACGGGGCACTCACAGCTTCTGGAAGGTGCTGACAGCCATGGCCGCGCCCTGGGCAGCTACGCGCAGTAGGGTGGCCTCGGCCCGGTGGCCTTGCTCCTGCAGGAAGCGGCACGAGGAGGCCACGGCCACAAGGAGCCACGTCCCTGCAAACTAGGAGCAGGCCATGTGAGGGCACAAGGGGATGAGGGGCGGCCCGGCCCTGCCCACCCACCTGTCCCCCCTCTACCTGCTGAGCATTGAAGTTGGCCTTCGGCTGGATGGTGCTGATCGGGGACGCTGGCCGAGGGGGTCTCCGAGCGCTCTGGCTCAGGGAGCCCCCGGCCAGGAGCACAGTCAAGAAGAGTGCAGTCCTGGGGGTCAGCATGGTGGCGGCCGGGTCCGGGAGAGGCAGAGGGCAGGATGGCCAAGTCCTGGGCCAGAGTCCACGGTCCAGTGCCGCCCAGAAGCCTGGCACAGGAAGTAGGCGCCAGGCCGCTTCCAGCCCCGGAGGTCCCGGTTGGTCCTCCTGCCTTTACCAAGCACCCTGCCCCCCACGAGCGTCTACCCCCAGCCTCCTGGACTCTGCACTTCCCGGCAGGGCCCTGGCGCCATATCCTGTTTACAAAGTCTCAGTTGACCTCTGGTTCCTTGTCCACGACCCCCTAACCCAAAGGCCCCAGCCGCTGGGAGCGGCGGGGCGGGGTCTCGACCCGCAAGGTAAGCGAGCCTTGCCCTCAGCCCGGCCCACTGGCCTCGGTGCGAGGCCGCCGCCCCTCCCGGCCGCCAGGGGCGCTGTTGGGAGCGAGCGCGAGTGCGCGCAGGCGCAGCCACGGCCGAGGCGGGCGGCCGGGTGCTCGGCGCTCTGCGGCCATCGATGCCTCAGGGCTCGAGGCGTCAGCCTGGCGGGCTCCATCATAGAGACGCGGCGGCAGGAGCGGCGGAGCGGAAGCCGGTCGGCCGGCCGGGGCCGGGCGCCGGGGCAGGGGCGGCACAGCCGGGCGGAGGCGGCTGCGGTGAGTGCGCCCGGCCCCGGGGAAGGTCGTCGTCCGGCCCCGGCCCCCGATCTCCGGCTCCCCGGCCGTGTCCGGTCCCCGGCCCCCTGCCACCCCACCCCCCCCCCCGCCGCCCCAGCCTCTGGCTCCTCGGCCTCGGCCGCGCCCTCTGCCGATGAATGAGTCGCCGAGGCCGGCCCGCCGGGCCCGGGCCCCGAGCCGAGGCCCCGCCCCCCGCAGCCCCTCGGAGGGGAGGGGGGAGGCGCGGTCGGGCAGCCCCCGCCCCGCCCCGCCCGCAGCTCGCCTGGCCGTGGCCGCGCTGGCCCGCTGGCCGCCGGGCGGGGCTTGCCTAGGCCCCAGGGCCGACGCCAAGGACCGGCTGGTGCCCGGGCGGCGTCTGGGGCGGGGGGGCGGGCGCTCGCCCCGCCGGCCCCAAGCCTCCCCGCGGAAGGACCGCTGTCCCACGCTGGCGGCTCTGAAGCCTTGGGGCCACAAGGTCAGAGTGGCAGGAGTGCGCGGGGGTCACCGGGTTCGCGGGCTCGGAGCCGTCCCCAGCCCAGGCTTCCAGACGTGCGTCTCGGCCCGGGAGCGGGAGGAGGTCAGAGGGCCCCACCCCCGCGACCGGGCCGCTTCTGGGCTGAGGGCACGTTTGGGGTCCAGCTCAGGCTGGACCAGGCCGGGAGGTGCTGGGCGCGGCCCGCTGCCCGCCCAAAGCTGCCTGTGCCAGGCACCACTGGGACGTGCGGGGGCGCCGGTCAGGAGGACGGGGTCCAGGGGGCTTGGAGAAGCTGTTGGACCCCTATAGCCAGGTGGGAGCGCCAGCTGGGCCTCCACACACGCTCAGTCCGAGGGGATTGCGGGCAGGGCACTTGCCTCTCTCGGCCCCGGGGCCCCTCCCTTGGGGCCAGTATGCTCTGCCAGTGCAACTGGCAGCTAAGGGGACCACGTGTGGGTTTCAGGGCTGCCTGGGCAGAATGTCACAATGGACGAGGGGGGCACGCCCCTGCTCCCTGACAGCCTCATCTACCACATCTTCCTGAGTTTGGGCCCAGCAGACGTACTGGCCGCCGGTCTGGTGTGCCGCCAGTGGCAGGCCGTGTCCCGGGACGAGTTCCTGTGGAGGGAGCAGTTCTACCGCTACTACCAGGTGGCCCGAGACGTGCCCCGGCACCCAGGTCAGGGCCTGCACGTGGCCCCACAGTCCACCAGGCTGGCTGGGAGGGCGGGAGGCAGGGCCATTCACATGCTGCCAGCTGAAGCCACAGCACTGGTCCCCAACCACCCAGATCTCGATAGTGGTCACCGAGGCACCGTGCAACCAGGCCGTGCCTCAGTACAGGCCTGGCAGGGAGGCAGGGGCTTGGGGGTGCCGGGGGCACCCCTGCAGCTGAGGTGACATCCTCCAGGGGCAGGGCTGGCCCCTACGCTGTCAGGGTGCTGGCCTCTGTGGGGAAGGAGGCTCAGGGCCCCCGCGGTGACCACCCCCCACCCCCAGCGGCCACATCCTGGTATGAAGAGTTTCGGCGGCTCTATGACACGGTGCCTTGTGTGGAGGTGCAGACGCTCAAGGAGCACACCGATCAGGTGCTGCATCTCAGCTTCTCCCACTCGGGTTACCAGTTTGCTTCCTGCTCCAAGGATTGCACTGTGAAGGTGAGCCCAGCCCACAGCAGCTGGGGCCGGGGGAGGGGGGTGGCCCCCAATGCTGATGGAGGGAAGTGAGTTCTGCTCCAGAGCCCGGAGCCAGCCACGTGGACCCACACCCCTCCTCCGGTCAGCGGGCAGCCAGGGGCCAGGAGCACCAGTCTGGTGGTGGTTTCTGGGCATGAGCCCAGCCAGGAGAGGGGCTTGCAGCATGGGCCCTGGGGTCCCGTGCAGGGTGGGCTCAAGATGCCCCCAGATGACTCCGCCCCCACGCAGATCTGGAGCAACGACCTGACCATCTCGCTGCTGCACAGCGCGGACATGCGGCCCTATAACTGGAGCTACACCCAGTTCTCCCAGTTCAACCAGGACGACTCACTGCTGCTGGCGTCTGGGGTGTTCCTAGGGCCGCACAACTCCTCGTCGGGTGAGATTGCAGTCATCAGCCTAGGTGAGAGCGGGCCTGGGGCGGGCTGGCTGGCCTGGCCAACCCCACGCCGCCTCCTACAAAGCCCTGCACCCCCCCCCGCCCGTCCCAGCCCCTTCCCACAGCCCTGCCCCCACTCTCCCCAGACAACTTCGCCCTGCTGTCCCGAGTGCGCAACAAGCCCTATGATGTGTTTGGCTGCTGGCTCACGGAGACCAGCCTGATCTCGGGGAACCTGCACCGCATCGGAGACATTACCTCCTGCTCAGTGCTCTGGCTCAACAATGCGTTCCAGGTGCGGGCGGGCGTGCCCCCTGCGGCCGCTCCCTCCTTGGCCTGGTGCCCACCTGCTGTCTCCCACCCCCAGGACGTGGAGTCAGAGAACGTCAATGTGGTGAAGCGGCTCTTCAAGATTCAGAACCTTAACGCCAGCACCATCCGCACCGTGATGGTGGCCGACTGCAGCCGCTTTGACAGCCCGGACCTCCTGCTGGATGCCGGTGCGGCCCCCGGCCGTGTCTTTGACCTGGGCAGCGACAGTGAGGGCGAGGCGGTGGGCCCAGGATCAGGGCCTGCTCCAGCCCGCACCAAGGAAGGCTTGCGGCGATTCTTGGATGGGCTCCTGGACGGGCGGGCGCAGCCCCAGCTGTCAGAGCACGCGCTGGAGACCAAGGTGGCCGAGCTGCTGGCCCAGGGCCGCACCAAACCCCCAGAGCACAGCATGGCTGACGCCCACAAGCTCCTCATCTTCACTACGGGCTGCCTCACTTACTCACCACACCAGATCGGTAGGGGAGCAGGCCCTCCTCCGTCCCTAGAACCTGGGGGGTGAGACTTCCCTGCAGCCAGGGTGGGGTCCTGTGGCCAAGGGCAGGCCGTGAGTCTCTGGGCAGAGTTGGCTTCCTCTGTTTGTCCTGGGGGCCCTGCCCTGGGCCAGCCTCCTGGAGTGCGTGTTCCATGGGGGCCTCTGGTTCCTGCAGGCATCAAGCAGATCCTGCCACACCAGATGACCACAGCCGGGCCTGTGCTGGGCGAGGGGCGGGGCTCAGATGCCTTCTTTGATGCCCTGGACCACGTCATCGATGTGCACGGACACATCATCGGCATGGGCTTGTCCCCGGACAACAGGTGGGCCTCCAACAGTGTAGGGGGGGGGGGGGGGGGGGGGTCTCTGCAGGCTGCTGAGACCAAGCAGGGTGCCCCTTGCCCAGGTACCTGTATGTAAACAGCCGTGCCTGGCCCAGCGGCTCTGTGGTGGCCGACCCCATGCAGCCACCGCCCATAGCAGAGGAGATCGACCTGCTGGTGTTTGACCTCAAGACCATGCGGGAGGTGAAGCGGGCTCTGCGGGCCCACCGTGCCTACACGCCCAATGACGAGTGCTTCTTCATTTTCCTGGACGTCAGCAGGGACTTCGTGGCCAGGTAGATGCGCAGGGCAGGGCCGGGCCGGGTCCAGGTGTGGCGGGCAGGGTCTCACCTGGGGCTCTCCCGCAGCGGGGCAGAGGACCGGCACGGCTACATCTGGGACCGGCACTATAACATCTGCCTGGCGAAGCTGCGGCACCAGGACGTGGTCAACTCGGTGGTCTTCAGCCCCCAAGAGCAGGAGCTCCTGCTGACAGCCAGTGACGATGCCACCATCAAAGCCTGGCGTTCACCACGCACCGTGCGCATCCACCAGGCCGCGCGCCCACGTCCCCATCCCTTTCTCTCCTGGTTTGCCGGCCAGAAGCGCTGAGAAGGGCACTAGGCGACAGGAGCGTCCTGGGTGTTCTGGGGCTGCTGGGACCCATTGAAGATGCTACAGAGGCCTGCAGCCCTTTCCCAAGGGCCCAGTCGCTGCCCAGACCATGTGGTGGGCAGAGACACTTGTGACAGTCATGCCTTAGGAGGGGGTCCAGCAGGGAGGGGACGGCCTGCCCCCCACCACACTCACACCACACACCACCTCCCACAGCTGTGACCTTCAGCACCGGGGCAGCCCCCTGGCTGGCCTGGGATGCACTGGACACTGGGCCCCCACTCTCCCCCACCCTCTTCCCCCAGGGCCTGTGCCCTGGGACAGTCAGCAGCATACATACCCTTTGGCCGGCCCCGTAGGGCCCCGGGCGGCCCCTCCTCTGGGAACACATTTGCTCACCAGCAGGGCCGGCAGCACAGGTCAGTCTGCCGTGGGCCCAGGCAAACTGCATGTCACTGGTCACCTGTTTGGGGCCTGAATAAACAGTTGGCAGTAGCACCCCGCCGTCCAATCTTTGTGGGCAGGGAGGGGCCCAGTGGTATCTACGCTGACTCTCATGCCTGACTGACAGGTGGCAGGACGCTTGAGGCTGTGGTGGAGTAGTGTGGCTCGAGGCTGCGTCCCCAAGTCGCTGTCCCTGGAACCTCTGAGCGGACGAGGTCACCGATGTGCAGAAAGTGCCAGAGCACGTCCACCATGACGTGTGCTCGCCACCAGCAGGGAGGCGTAAAGGGGCACACCTGACCTGGGGAGGCGCTGCAGAAGACAGGGCCGCACACGGCGGGGCGGGGGGCTGGGGGCGTGGGGGGGGGGGCAGGAAGCAGCCCCAGCCACATTCTCAAGGCTTGACCCACATCTGTCCTGGGGACTCACCTGCCCCCCTCATTTTGATGGGTGCTGGTGCCGGGTGGGGGTGCTGATGGGGCAGCAGGCCTGGTTTCTGTGCCTGGCTACACATGGAGCTCACCGTGTCGAACAGTGTTCCGTGCACGCACAGTGACCATCACCACAGTTGGGGGACAAACGTGGCAGACACGGACACGTCCACAAGAACGAGGCCAGAGGCAGTGCCAAGCAAAGGCTGCTGGCCTTGGAACCACACTGGCTACAGGGGGAGGGCTGGGCAGGGGCCGTGAGGGGCTCGGCCGGGAAGGCACAGGGCCCGGAGGAGCTGCTCGTGGCCAAATGTCCAGCAGCGTGGGCCGTGCACCCAGAGGAGGACGCCCCAGCCCACAGTAACAACAGGGAAGCCCAGGGCTGCTGGGGTTCATGTCCAAACCCCCAGACACAAGGACAAGGAGGGGAACTTGGAGACAAGGCCACAACAGCAAGGGAAGCCAAAACGTCCCGCACGCAGCACACCTGAGACCATCCAGAGCCACGAGTAGCCGGCAAGCTCCGTAGGGGCAAATACGCTCCTGACAAGTGGCAAAATGGAACAATTTTCTGAAGAGATCTTAAAATCATCAAGAACTAAATCTGTAAAACAAAAGCAGGGAAGAAGAATAAAAAACACCCAGACTCAAAAGGAAGCCAGTGGAACACAAAAGGTAGAGTGATTGAAATGGAAAAAAGGTTGGAGCAGACCCGCCTGGCATGAGAATTGGCAAGCAGAGGATGGAGAAGAAGAGACGCAGCTGGACACAACCCAAGGAAGAGCTGGGAGTGTGGGGAGGGACGAGGCAGCACAGATGGGGCAGGAGGTGCTCCAGCTCAAGCCTGCAGCGGGCACAGTGAAACAGGAAATGGCTCAAGTACACGAAGACAGAAGTCCTCAGAACACGTGAGAAGCAGCAGTGCCCACGAGATGCGGCACGGTGAGGCCACAGCCAGTGAGGGCCCCGTCCCTCCCCCAGCGCAGCTAGAAGAGCTAAGCACTCGCTTGGAACAGGGTACGCAGCGGGCGGATGGGGAGCAGCAGACCTCCGTGTCCGTGCCCGGCCTGAGCTCAGAACAGCCTCGGCCTGGAAGTGAGTGCCCAGAGAGCAGCCTGCCAGGAGGACGGAGTGCTGGCCACAGAAGCCCACAGCACTGAGTGTGGCTGTAGCTCCAAGAGCCCGTTACTACTGTGCTCTCTGCACTGCTGCTAGGTGGACCCAAAAGTGGCCTTGTGACCAAGGAAAGGCATGACAGAGCGGCGCAGCGAGAGCCCCATGCCTCTGGCTGAAGGAGCAGACGGTGCTGCACCCAGGCCAGAGGGAGCAGCTTGGGAAGCAGCCCGGGAGGTGGCCCTGACCGCTAAGGCTGACCGTCAGGCTGCAGATGTGTGCATCAGACCCAGACCGCAAGAGCCTACAAACCAGTGCCCAATCCCAGCCTAAGGACCAGCCCACAGACCGTGGTGAGCATGGGCCTAACCCTAACAAGAGCTGGTGTCCGTGAACACTGACAGTCGTCCAGGAGTCAGACAAGACCCAGAGCGGGTCAAGTGATGTCCAGAATGTAACCCCCAAGTACTTGGCACACAAAGAACCCTCAAAATGTCAGCTCAGAGGAAAAGACATTCAGCGGGTGCCAAGGATGAAAAGACACAGATGTCGAGATTATCCGACAGAGACTCTGAAGTAGCAATCATAAAAACGCTTGAAAAGCAATCACAAACACTTCAATAGATATAAAGATACAAAAGTCTCAGCAAAGAGACAGAGGATTTAAGAGGAGCCAAAGGGAAACGTTAGGACTGAAAAGCAAAATTTTAAAACTCACTGAACAGACAGACCAGCAGAATGGACATGACAGAAGAGTCCATGAACGTGACTAAGGTGGACAGAAATTGTCCAACCTGAACAAAGGAAAGAAAACCATTTGGGGGACAAATCAGGCCCCAGGGACCTGTGGGACAAACACTAAAGGTCTAACGTTTGTATCACTGGGAGCCCAAAAGGAAAAGAAAATGATCTGCAGAAACGACAGCTGAAATTCACCACCCGTGTGGTGAAAGATACACACCCACAGATTCAAAAAGCCGAGTAAATCCAGATAGGATAAAACTAAAGCATCCACGCCCAGACGCATCTCATCAAACTGCCGAAACCCAAAACAGAAGAGCCCTGACAGCAGTTGGGAAAGGTCATGCCCACCCAACAAGCTGCAGGCCCCCCACCAGCAGCCGGAACTGCTGTCAGCCCAGAATGCCACAGCAGCGAAAACATCCTTCATGAATACAGGTGAAATAAACTCTCAAATGAAAGAAAAAGAAGAGACTCTGTGGCCAGCAATGGAAGGTCTTCTGACAAGAGGTAAATACCATCAGAATGAGGCTGGGACACCAACAACACGGGGACAGAAATGCAGACTCCTGTCGTCCTGCGTTCTTCAAAACATGTTTGACAGTCAAAAGAAAGGCAGTGATAATGTTTTCTGATGGAGTTTTCAGTCTAGTTATGGGGGGACGATAAAGGGACCCTTGGGGGTGAGGTGCCTACATCCTGGCTGAAGTGCAAAATACTGACTCCATCGTAAGCTGTTAAAAGTTGAGTGTGTTGCGGGGCGCCTGGGTGGCTCTGTCAGTTGGGCGTCTGACTCTTGATCTCAGCTCGGGTCGTGATCTCAGGGTCATGAGTTCAAACCCCGTGTTGGGCACCACGCTGGGCATGGAGCCTACTTTAAAAAAAAAAAAAAAGTACAACAATAAAAGTTAAGCATGTTGTGATCCTTAGAAGAACCACTAAAAATACTACACAGAGAGACAAAATCACAACAGATGGACTAAAACAGATTAGCACAAAATGTTCAACGAATTCCGTCCTTCTAGGCGGCAGAGAGGAGATGGAGGTACAAATACGGAGGACCAAGAGAAAACAAACAACAAAATGGTAAACGTCCATCTCAGCACGGCAATGACCACGTCACCGTCAAAGTGAAACCAACAAAAACAGAAGCCCTACAACCCCACTCCGTCATCGCTAATAAAGCACTTCAAATAGGACGTGAGGGAGGGAAACAGCAAAAGGGTAGAAAACCACATTCCACAAAAACACTCCTAAAAGGAGCCTTGACTGGCTACACTAACCTCCAAGTAGAGTGTGCCTCAGAAAGGAAGAGCCTCACCAGGAAGAAGAGGGATGCTGCCCGTGGGTAAGAGGCAACATCCGCCGAGAAGCTAAAGCATTGCCCAACGTGTGCACGGCTCACAAAAGAGCCAAAAACAGCCGAAGCGAAGTGGCAGAATGAGGAGCGCATTCGCGGCCGGAGATGGCCCGCCCGCACTCAGGGCAGAACCCAACACAGCACTGTGCGTGTTTCCCAGGCTGTGGGAGCCAGGAACCACAAACTGGGGAGTCCCTTGTCTGACGGCTCTAGAGGTCACAAGTCCGCGCGCTCGCTGTGGGGGACCCTTGCCTCTTCTGGCTGCTGGTGGGGCTGGCCATCCTTGGTGTCCTCAGGTGCTGACCCATCAGTCCAACCCTCTGTCTTCACATGGCCTCCCCCTGGGCCCCTTGAATCGTCGGTCCCTCTGCAGGTCTGTGTCCAAGTCTCCCCTTTTTATAAGGCTCCCGGTCCTACTGGGCTGGGCCCACCCTATGCCTCATTTTAACTTGATTACCACTGTACAGACCCTATTTCCAAATAAGGTCACATTCTGAGTTACCAGGGATTAGGATGTCAATGCATCTTTTTGGGGGAAATATGATTCAACATGTAAGAACTACCAACCAACTAGACTTAACTGAGCCGTATACAACACTGCACTCAACGAGAGCAGAGCACACCTTCTCTTCAAGGGGACAAGGAGCATCCACCAAGAGAGACCACAGCCTGCACCACAGGACAAAGCTCAACAGATGTCAGCACTTCCAAACTCCGTTTCCATAGGACCACCATAAGCCAAATACCAAAACCAAAGACTACAAAAAGGACAATTATAGACCAACATCCCTGGCAAATATAGATGCAAAATCCTCAAGAGATAATTAAATCAAATCCAGAAAAAATATAAAATGAATGGTATGCCACGACCAAGTGGGATTTAATCCAGAAATGCAAGGCTGGTTCTATATTTAGAAAAAAATCAATGTAAGCCACCACAGGAACAATACAGAAGAACCATTGGACGTATCACTTGATGCAGGAAAAGCATCCAAGTCATGATAACGTGGACGTAGAAGGGAGCTTGCTCAGCCTGGTAAAGGCATCGGCACAATCTGGAGGTAACATCATACTTGGTGAGAGGGAACCTTCCCAAGACCAGGAGCAAGGCCAAGAGCGCCTCCTCCCACTCCTACTGCATCTCGCAGCAGGAAACTTAGCAGGTGGGTTAAAGTGAGCAGGACGAATGAAGGGCGTACAGACGGGAGAGGAAGGAAGTCGTCGCTCACAGACGACATGATTGTTTATGTGGAAAATCCCCCAAAAGCTACAAAAACAATTCAACAACCTCCTAGAACCAGGGAGTTTTATCAAGCTTACACAATACAAAGAGAACACACACAAAACAACTGTTTCTAAACACTAGGAATATATAATTGGGAACCAAATTATTTGTTTGTTTGTTTGAAAGCGTGAGAGAGCGCACAAGCAGGGGGAGCAGCAGAGGCAGAAGGAGAAGCAGACTCCCCACTGAGCAGGGAGCCCCATGCGGGGCTCAATCCCAGGACCCTGGGATCATGACCTGAGCTGAAGGCAGATGCTTCACCAACTGAGCCACCTAGGCGCCCCTGGAAACCAAAATTTTTAAAAAATACCTTTTACGGGGCGCCTGGGTGGCTTGGTTGAGGGTTCGACTCCTGATTTTGGCTCAGGTCATGACTTCAAGGCCATGGGATTGAGCCCTACACTGGGCTCCATGCTCAGCGGGGTTCTGCTTGAGATTCTCCCTCTGCCCCTTACTCCCTTGCTATCTCTCTCTAAATAAACAAAATCTTTAAAGAAATACTACCTTTTACAATAGTTCAAGAATGAAAGAAAGAAATAGGCACTGACCTAAGAAACCATATGTTTATGCTGAATACTACAGGATGATGACTAAAAAAAAAAAAAAAAAAAAAGCAAAGACACAAATAGAAACAAATTACGTTCCTGGACTGGAAGACAACATAGATGTCAATTCTCTCCAACCTGACCTGTAGATTTAATACAACTCCAATCAAATCCCAACAGGGCTTTCTGTAGCTATAGACCAGGGGATTCTAAACCTTATCCATACTGGCAAAGGAACAAAAATAGCTCAAGTAATTCTGAAAAACAAGAATAAAATTGGAGGAATTACACCACTTGAGCTAATGCTCATTAGGATGTAGGCTATCAAGACAGACTGGTGTTGGTGCAAACACAACAGATCACACGTACATGGCAAATTAACTTGACAAAAGCACAAGTCCATGGGCAGAGCGGAGGCAAACAATGGACATTCATTTCCATAAATGGTGCTGGAACAACTGGCCATCCAGATGCAGAAAAATTCACCTAAACTTCATGCCTTGTATAAAAATCAACTCAAAATTTTTGGATCAAAGGTCTATGTGTAATATGTCACAATATATTTCTAGAAGAAAGCACAGAAAAACCTTCATTATCTGGTGGAAGGCAAAGAATTCTCCGACATGACACTAAATGCACAATCCATGTCACAAAAAGTCGGTAAGTAGCACTTTACCAGAACTTAAAATTTTATTCTAAAAAGCAGCTAAGCAGATGAAAAAATAAGCTACAAACTTGAAGAAAACATTTACAAGTCACATGCCGGACAAAGAACTTGTCCCTAGAAACATGCAAACAACTCTCAAAACTCAACAGTAAGCAAACAACAAACCCAACCGAAAAATGGGCAAAACCAACAAGCAGACACATCTCCAGAGAAGATGCTCACCTTAGATGTTAGGGGAACGCAAACCAAAACAGAATACCAGTGCACGCCTTGGTAACAAGGGCTAAGACGGGGCGTGGAGCACGGGAACCCTGCCTGCAAACATTGTACGCAAACATTCAGAGTAGCTCTACGCATGACTGCTAAAATCTGGAAATCACCCAAATACCCTTCAACAGGTGTATACTCAGACAAACTGGCCCATCTGAGCCGCCGAATGCCTCTCAGCCAAAAACAAAAGGACGAATCTCTGATTCACAGGACATCTTGAATCTCCAAGGCATTCTGCTGAGTGGAAGAACCAGGCTCAGAAGGTTGCACACTATACGATTCCATCACAACATCCCTGAACAAACAGTAATGACGGAGCACGGGGCTCTGGCTGTGGGCTCGCGCGGGGAGCGGGGGGCACAACGGGGCAGCGTCGGCAGAGACGGAGGAGCTATTCTGTGTTCAGACCAGGATGGTGCTCACATCAATCTGTACATGTGGTGAGATGTACAGAGCTGCACCCGAAACACATCATAAATCAACTTTCCTACGACAAATTAAAAGAGCTATTGGAGAGAAAGTGCAGCGGACTCACCCGCCATGGGCCCAGGTGAGACTGCAGCTGTGGCCTCCAAATGCAGAGAAAGAATAACATCGACCCAGAATTCTAAACCCAGTCAACATCTAAACCAAGGGTAGAACTGGGGCGCCTGGGGCAGGGGTCTCAGTCAGTTGGGCGTCCAACTCTGGATTTCAGCTCAAGTCGCGATCTCAGGGTCGTGAGACGGAGCCCCGCACCGGGCTCCAGCTGGGCACGGAGTCTGCTCAAGATTCTCTCCCTCCCTCTGCCCCTCACCACCGCACTCTCTCAAAAACAAAACAAAAATACACCTGCGGACGTGTGAAGCCAGAGGCCCCGCAGGACAGAGCGGCAGCCGACACCTCAAGTCGGACACAGGGACAAGCACAAAGCAGCACGCCTGGTGCCGCGGCCGCTGTTGATGGTTTTTAGTAAGTACTTTTTAAAAGATTTTAGTTATTATTTGAGAGATTGAGACAAAATAGCGAGAGACAGAGAGAGAGCACACGAGCGGGGAGGGAGGGTTGAAGGGGGACCCCTGCGCGACACTTGGTCCCAGGACTCTGGGATCATGACCTGAGCAGACGCTTCACTGACTGAGCCCCCCAAGGCGCCACTTAAGAAGGACTTTTTGTGTTGAAAACTACCATGGACTCGAAATTCTAGGGAACATGCAGAGGGAGCAGGAGGTCAAATGAAGGCCTAAGTGGAAATCACCCTGTGCAGAACGTCAGATGGCCCGGCTGTCCCTGAAAACAAACCTGGCAGCTCCTCAAACATGTCAACACGCGGCCTATCGCCTCCCCTGGCGGGCACCGTCCCAAGAGCAAGGAAACCCGGCCACACACAAACCGCACACAACTCTCCCAGCAGCACGGCTCGCGACAATGTGGGGACAGACGGCCTGTAAGTCCACTCGTGGACAAACCAACAAATGTCGTTAACTGGAGTCTTGTTCAGCCCTCGGAAGAAAAGGAGCCCTGAAACATCCCGCTCAAGCCGGGCGTGAAGGCCATGCTGCATGACCGCATGCGGGTGCGCGTCCAGAACAGGGAGTCCACGGGGACAGAGCGCGGGCTGTGCTTGCCAGGGGCGGGGCCCGCTGCCTTCGGGGAGCTGACAAGGGCCTGGAACAGACCTCTCACCGGGTCTGCCTGTAGAGCCCATGCTATCTGAGGGGACCCCGGTCTCCCGGTAGGAGAGGCTGCCCATAGCAGCCAGCACTCAGCAAGGGCGGGGGGCCGGTGCTCTCGGCTCTGGTGTAGACTTCCACCTGCTTCTTCCGGAGCCTGACCGTCCTCCTCTACACTGCAGGACTTCTCCAGCAAGTTCTCTGGACCCAGACCCCCGGCGCCCTGTGGGCCGGGGGGGATACAGCTGCCCTGGAGAGCAAGGGAGGACTGGCAGGCAGCCTCGCCGGGGCCCCCCTCCGCTCGCCGGCCACCCCCCAACCCACCTTCCCCCTTCTAAAATGGGTTCACATCTTTCGGCCCTTGCCCTCCACCCCGCTCTGTCCCCATGGGCAAAAACTTTTCTAATCCTCTTATTTTACTGCTCTGTTTTCAGGAAAAGGAAATAAATTCACTAACGTTCTTGGTTTACCCCGACTGACCTAATGGAAAACAAAATGCGCACACACACACACACACACACACACACACACACATCATATACAAATTCCAAAAGTAAAAGCCCAATGTGTTGAAAATAAAGCTTTAAAACCATCAGAAAAAAACACAAAAGTATTTTCTTGGGGAGACTTAGCACTTCGTGCACAAGTGGTCAACGGCACAATCCACAGGAACGTATTACCCAACTCATCATATTTATGTTTTAGGTTCCCGTACGCTCACACACTTCAAAGACACAATCAAGGACCAGTCTCGCCGACAGTAGGAAAACAAGACCGACAACCCAGGAGGCAGGTGGACAAGGGCGGGCTGCACCCAGGTCAGGAGCCCGGCGCGGGCAGTCTGTGCCCTGCAGCTCGGAGGCAGGGGTGACAAGCGGGCGCAGTCAACTTGGCACCAGCTCAGCGCGAGGCTTCCCGCTGTGGTCTCATTTGTGGAAACGCAGGAAAGCAGCAAGTCGTGAGGACGGCGCTCTGGAGAGCGGGGAGGGGAGGGCCGGAAGGGCTTCACTTCTCTGCTGCGTTTCTCTTACACGACAGCACGCGTCCTAGGGCTCGTTTCTTTCTTCTCAGTGCTTTTCTATCACGTCAACTCTCGACCCAGAGAAGTGAGTCACGGTGTCAGGGGAAGTCAAATGTGTCGTGGGTTCTCTACAAAGACACCTGGGCAGCCCCCCGCCTGGCCCTCTAGAACCAGGCAGTTCTGAGAACAAACGAGGGGCCACCAGCAGCGCGGTGCAGACGGCCACTGGCCAGGACCCCCGAGTCTGCCCCAGTCCCGCACCGCCCAGGGCTGAGGCCCTGACCCAGGTCTCACGGAGGTTCAGGCCTGTGGTCAGGGCGCCAGAATTACTGGCCGCCAGTGGGAGGAAATGCCTGGCGCCTGGACAAGTCCTGGTTCAGGGGAGGCAAATGCAGAAGAATCTACTGGCCGCCCTTCCAGCACCAGAGGTCCCCGCGGGGAACGGCGGGGACACACGTGGACCTGCTCTTGAGGCAGCCCCTGGGGAGGCCTGAGGGAGGAAGAACTAGCTGGCGAAGAACATTCCAGAAAAAATAGCAGGAGCGAGCCTGCGGTGTCAGGGAACCCACGTAACTGCTCGGGGACCTGGTAACTTGTGGGGAGGGGGCCAAGGGAGGGCAGAGAGCCGGGAAGCCCCTATGAGGGTTACCGCCACCAAGGCCAGAAGCAAATGGACACCACTCTCCACAGAGATTTAACAGTTTAATAACGACTTCTCCACAGCCCGACGGGGCAGCTAACCCACCCCGTCTTGCAGCAGGGCCCACTGTGCACCCCACACTCGCCACGGGGGCAGCCGACAGGATGTCCCGAGGACACAGAGTGCCCTCCCTGCCCGTGGCCTGGCCGGGCCTGCACAGCAGGACCTCTCCTCAGAGCAGTGGCCAGGCCGGAGAACGTCCCTCCTGTCCAGGCCAAAGGGCGGCCCAAGGTACCAGCTCACCCTGCCCCTCTGCTCACCTTGCCCCGAGCGCCCGCACGGACGGCCCGCCGGCAGATACTGACGGGCCTGCAGCCCACCCCACGTGGCCCGGGCTGAGCGGCCTCTCCCAGGAGGTGGCCCCTTCCCAGCAGGACACAAACGTGGCAGGTGCCCACCCACCACGAGGCTCAGGCCCAGGGTGGTGGCCCCTCACCAAGCCGTCAGGCCCAGCTATTCCTGACCCCCGACCCCTGACCCTGGTGGGAGGCGGCTAGAGCCCCGTCAGGTCCACAATGGCCTTGATGAAGATGGCGTCATCACGCACGTACGAATTCTTGGCCTCCATCTTGGAGACGGGGCAGAAGAGCGGGCAGCCGCTGGCGATGTTCATGTCACTGACGGGCCTCTGGAAAGAGGACGAGGTCACGTCGGGTCTGAAGGCGTCGATCACGTGCTCCCGGCCGTTCTGGTCAAGCAGCATCAGGGTCACCTGGGGGAGAGCAGCCGGGGAGGGGCGCCGCTCTGAGCCACGGCCCCGCTCAGCTCCAACCCCCGTCTGGGTGACCGGTGCCCACTCCGGCACTTTCCGTCCATCAGCACCCGGGGTCTGAGGCTGCAGTTAACACCGCGGAGCTGCACTGGTTGGTGCCGCGCTTGCTCACGTTCACAGGACACAGGCTCTCATACCAAAGAGCTCGCAGAGCCCCCGCTGCCCCCCCGAAGGGACCGCGCCCTGTGCTGCCCCCCCCCGACCAGAAAGCCCGGAGCCGGCCCAGCGTGGTGGGGGGAGAGGACGATGGCGCGGGCACCTCCAAGCCCTCCACCAAGGGCAGGCTCCGGTTCTCAGAGTGTTCCCTAACACCTGCAGGCGCAGGCTCTCCAGCCGGACTCCCTCCTTGGGAACCGACTCCGAGGCGGCATCTTTAACCGCTAGCCCCGAGGGGCCGTGAAGCCAGGGAGTCGACTGGGTGGTGCCCGAGCTCCACTGCAGGGACAGACCCATCTGGAGCCCGAGGGCCCGTCCTGACAAGCTCCCCACCCCACGGGGCCCCCGGGACAGCCACTGGGACGGCCTCACGCACCTTTTGGTTGAAGGGCCACCGCAGGAGGGCGTCGTTGGGGCCCTTCATCACCACAAAGAAGAGAGAGAGGTGTGTCCCGCGCCCGGTGCCGTCTCCGTTCAGGTAGATGCGCAGACACATCTTGTAACCATACCTGCTTGTGTAGAAGGCTGCGGGGGGGGAGGGGCGCTGGTGAAGCCACGCCGAGGGCTCCCCCAAGAAACACAAACACAGAGAGAATGCCCAGGTCTGGGGGCACATACTTTTCCTCAAAGTGTGCAGACTCAGTTCCTAGTGAAGACAAGTGCCCCAAAGGAAAAATAATTCATTAGGGAAAGCCTTTCTAAGAACCCTGAACGCAAGCCCCAAGTGGCCACACGTGAACCAGCTGTGAAGCTCAGCGGTGGCTCGGGCTCTGGGCCAAAGGACTGTGGTCAGACCTGAGCACGGCCTGGAGGAGGCAACAGTGGGTGACAAGGTGGGACAAGCTGGAGGTGACACTGCCAACCCCCAGCAGGGTGCACAGAGACACGTGGGAGCCAAGACCTGACGAGAGCCAGGCCGTCCCCAGGAGCAGACCTCCCTGCCTTCCTGCTCGAGCCCCCAGAAACCACGGTCCCTCAGCTCCCCAGACACGGCCCTGCTCTGGCAGGGCGGCTCCAGCTGGGGCGCACGCCTGACCCCCGGCCTGCAGCCCTCTTCTCAGTCAGGTTTTGTCAGAGATAAACTCAGAAGAAATTCCCATCATCAGGGATACCCCCACTCCTAGGGGAACGTGCTAGCAAGGAGGCACCTGCTCGAGTCCAGTGCAGAGAGGACGGCGCCCCGAGCAGACGGCCTGCTCCCCACCCAGGAAGCCAGAACATGGGCTCTGTCCACGACCACCCCAGGAGACATGGCAGATCACACGGCAGCTCTGCCTACGGGCCGCACTCCCCTTCCTGCCCCGTAACCTACAGCAGGAGAGCGACCTACACCCTCTGAGCCCGCGCCCTGGGATGCACCATGGCAGCAGCCTCACCAAGGGCACTGTTAAAGGGCACATGCGGCACTCTCCACCAGGGGGAGGACCGGGCAGGGAGAGGCGGCCGTGCAGCTAGGCGCCCCCCCCCAGGAAGGGCTGCGGAGCGACTGCGGCCAAGGCAGAGCACAGGACTCTACTCCGAGTCCCCGCTCGCGGTTCCGTCCCTGAAGACCCAGCGGAGAGGCGGCGGGCGTGGGGATGCCTCCCCCATCGGGGAGGCGTGGCAGCCACTCGTACTGGCAGAGGGCTCCAGCCTGGGGGGCACAACCATGTCAGACAACAGCTGCGCTGAGGGCAAATCCCAGAACAGCACCTGGGGAGAAGATGGCGGGCGTGCGGCCGGCCACGGCTTCCTGACGCTTCCTGGCGAAGTCGGAGATCTTCCAGACGAACACGCCATCGAAGGTGGTCGCCTGCATCTCGTGGACCTTCTGCTCCAGCTCGGCCATCGCCAGGTCCTTCAGACCGATGCTCCTCTCCAGCTGCTGCACCTGGGGGGCACGGGGAGCCCCGTGAGGGTGCGCGCCTCCTGGGTGCCGGTGGGAGGGGCCGTGAGCCTCCACCCAGCGTGCCTCTGAGGCCACCTTGCCTTTCGCAGGAAGGTGCTTATCAAAGTGCCCCCACGCCCATCTTCCCACCAGTTTCAGGCAGGACGGCATCTGCCGGTGCCCCTGAGGCTTCACTGGGCTCCATCCCCACAAGACCCCCAACCCCACCAATGGCCGGGGCTCAAGAGCTCCGTGCAGGCAATACACTCACAGAGCCCACATCAATCGCGAGGCCTGTCCCCCCACAGGCCAGAGAGAAGAGGCAATCTCAGAGCGACCACTAGGACCCCCACATCAGGCAGTCAGTGAGCAGGGCTCAGAGAGGGGCTCTGTGCTAGAAATCGAGGTGCGGTCCTTAAGATCGCAGCTCCGAGGCCCCGTGATGCCCTGGGACCCGCCCAGACTAGCCCCGTGTGCCCCAGGCCCAGACCTTGTTACTCAGGGCCCCGATCCTGTCCTGGTCCAGCCGGTGCTGCCGGCCGCAGGCCTCAGCGGTCACGGCCACCCTCTCCACCTCCCGGTTCAGGACGCAGACAATGTTCTCGAAGGTGGCCGTCTTCCTCTCCAGGGCCTCACACCGCTGCCGCAGCTCCGCGGCCTTGGAGAGCTCCAGCTCGGGGTACAGTGTGCTGGCCTCCCAGCCCCCCACCTCGCTCTGGCCCAGGAAGTGGCCACCTGCTCCTGAGAGGTGCTTGGCCTCCAGGAGGCCGCCCAGCAGCATGGCCAAGTGCTCTCGGAGCCACTGGGCCTCGTGCTGCTGCTGCTTCTCGCTCTCCACCTGCAGACAGGAGACAGGGGGCTCAGCCTGACCCAGGGCCCTGCGGGCCTGCTGCAAGGCGGGTCAGCGCTGTGACACCTCCCTATCATTCACTTGCCGGCATGTCCCGTCACTACCTGGAGTCAGTATCTTCCAAAAATACAAGCCTTCCTGGTGACTTCTCTACTTGTATTTGAAAAATGACCGGGAAGAACATTTAAAAGTTGCCCAAGGAGAGCGGGGGAGACCAGTAAAGCTAACCTTCTTCAAATATTCTTTATCATACAGTTCTGACTTTACAGCCAAATTTCTTCTAAAACTTCACAACAAATAAAAATAATTTTTTTTAAGATTGTATTTGTTTGAAAGAGAGACACGGAGAGAGGGAGGGAGGGCAGAGAGGCAGAGGGAGAGGGAGAAGCAGGCTTCCCGCGGAGCAGGGAGCCCGATGCGGGGCTCGATCCCAGGACCCTGAGATCATGACCTGAGCCGAAGGCAGACGCTTAACGGCTGAGCCACCCAGGTGCCCCCAGATTTTAAAATGTTACACACTCTCAGGGGTGTCTGGGTGGCTCAGGTGGTTAAGGTCTGACTCTTGGGTTTCGGCTCAGGTCACGATCTCAGGGTTATGAGATCAAGTCCTGCGTCAGGCTCTGCGCTCAGCTTGGAGTCTGTTTGAGAGTCTCTCCCTTTGCCCCTTGCCACTGACCCATGCCTGCACACACACTCTCTCTCTCTCAGATAAACAAATAAATATTTTTAAAAATAGAAATAAAAATGTTAAGACATTCTCAAAATATCAAAAAGCGGAAAGAAACAAATGAACCCCAGGAGGCACAGTGCCCAGAGAGCAGCTCCCCGGTGGTGCTGGGACAGGAGGCCCCCTGCCAGTCCGGGGGCGGGCGTGGGGGCAGTGTGTGCGTAACATGGGGCTGGGGACCTGCGGTCAGAGTCAACGTCAGGCCTCAGGTGGAACCACCCTCGGGACGCGTCGGACACTGACCGCTAGAAAGGCCGCGGCTGCCGCACCCCAGGCCCACACTCCGGTGGGGCCCCGGTGGGGGCCCGGGCCTGTGTGCGACGGCACCAGCACCGCGTCACCAAACACAGAGAAGCAAAGGTGGAAGGAACCATCCCTGTGGATGGCACCTGAGACCAGGTGTCAAGGCCCCAGGTGACAGCACCGCCAGGATTACCGCCATCGGAATGCTGCCAGGGTGTTTGCAATCGGCGGGGCGCCAGCCGTGCCCCAGGGCTCAGAGAGCCAGGGGGCTGCACACTCCCACGCCCCTTGGGGCACAGAACAGAGTCGGGGAAAGAAAGGTAGAGGCCACATGGACAGAGGCCTGAACGAGCTGCACAGAAGCCCACAGGTCGAGGTCCTGAGGTGGGACAGGTCAGTGTGCGCACGGACAGCCAGGCCAGTGACCAGCCCCGAGATGAGGTCAGGGGCGGCCAGGGCCACACAGGCCACGGAGGCAGGGGAGGCAGGTGGGGTCTGGGACCGTCTGCAGCAGCCATGGGTCTCCGGGTGGACAGGACACAGTACCGGAGACAAGGGGAGGGCCCACAGTGACTGCTGGGCCTCGGCTGGAACAGCTGGGCGACATGAGGGGCTCGTTTCGGGCAGGTGGGAGGACTGGGCGGGGGGCGCCCGGTGTGCAGCTGAGGCCTGAGACGCTCACCAGGTTATCAGGGAGGTACAAGGCACTGGGCACTTTCAGCAGAGAGGGGTGGTCAGAGCTGGGGCCCCGTGAGAGCACCAGGAGGACGAGCGGGCGGAGCAGAGCCCGGGCTGAGGCAGGGATACCTGCGGGCCGAGGAAGCAGCAGGGGAAGTGGGAGGGAAACCAGGAGGCCGGGCTGGAGGCCGAGCAAGGACTGCATTCGGGAAGAGGGTGCACGGCACGCTCCCGCGGGGCCCCCCTCAGGAAACAGGGAGCTCCCATGAGGACCAGCCCCAGCGGACCCACGGCCAGTGGGACTCACCATCTCGGGGCAGCCGACGACGTGGAACCTGCACGGGACTCGGCACTTGCCGCATGCCCTGACGTGGTCCTGGAACTAGAAGAACACAGATGCTCTAAGTGCCCGTACTCTCTCTTCCCCACCTGTGCACGCTTTAGACTCACGCTGAACAAAACCTGACAACCCCATTCCAGAGCCAGAGGTGCATAAGCGCACACGCACACGTACGTGCACACGCAGCTTGCAGGTGTCAATAAAGGGAGGTGGGTGCAGGCTGAGGGACTCACACTGTGGGCCAATGTCTCAGAACACCTGCAGACACCCCATCCCATGCTCGGGCCTCTGCGCCCCGGACTCTCCGCTCATAAGACATGTGGTGCCCGAGGCCCCAGGGCCTTGGGAGCAAAAGGAGGGGCCAGCCTGACCAGGGGTCAGACACCCACCACTGACCCAGCGTGGTACTGGCGCACGACCACACAGAGCCCCACAGAATAGATGCAGAACCCGGAGAGGGAACTACACACGCGCTGGGCGCTGACCCAGCAGCCCCTTCTGCCGGCAAAGACAAAGGTGGATGACTGCTCTCAGAAGTGCGCGAGGGCAAGGGGCAGCCACAGGACCACTTGAGAGAGGTCCCTCTTGCCTCTGTCCGCCAGGGCCCTGGAATGACAATCAGAGCTACTAACGCCAAATGGAAACACAGGCAAAACATTAAACTAAAGGACAAGGGACTGTAACGCAAGCTACCCAACACTTAGAGTTCAAAAAAAACAGAGAAAAGAAGGACTAAGATTCTCTCCCCACCACAAGAAATGGGCAGGAGGCCCCAGTGGTCCCCGGTCCCCAGTAAGAGAAACACAGGTGAGCCCTAAGCGAAAAGCCCCAACGGATTCGTGATTTGAGAGACGCACACTGAACCTCCCGGGACAGTCTTTCTCAGGCATTACCTGGCGAGCCCCCAAGGGTGTCACCACACCTGCTGGTGGGGCTGGGACCAGCACTCCGACCCGTCAGCACACTGTCCCCGGTTTTCACTCTGGACCCACACAACCATTTTACAAAACTACAAGACAACTTGCTCCAGAAGGGCAATCTTAAGAGACTTGAAAGCAGAGAGACGAACGGCAGCTAGCTTACCACCGAGAGACTGCCTCCCAGGACCGCCAAGACGCAGCAGCCTGACCGCGCGTTCCGCAAGAGCAGAAGGAGCCAGAGACAGGCCGCCAGCACACAATCAAGGACTGGCGTGGGGAGCGGTGGGGCTGCGTCTGGGGGGGCAGCACCTACCACCATGCCCTGCAGCAGGAAGAGCTACAAACACGGACACCAGGCAAAAATCGTAACCACAACCACCAGTATGAACCCACGACGTACTTTCTCTTAAAATGGAACATGAGGGGCGCCTGGGGTCTCAATGACTCTTGGTTTCAGCTCAGGTCATGACCTCAGGGTCGTGAGATCGAGCCCCGCGTCGGGCTCCCCGCTCAGTGCGCAGTCTGCTTGTACCTCTCCCTCTCTGTCCCTCACCCCACTCTGCTTGCGGGCTCATGCTCTCTCCCAAACAAAATTAAAAAAAAAAAAAAAGGAGCAGAGTCCCACCGCGGCCACCAAAGTGTTCTGGATGAAAGGCAGTGAGTGGGCAGGCTCTGGGCCAGGGTCTCAGGCACGTGTGACTTCAGGCTGGGTCATTTCCACCTCCGGAAGTGTCACAAAAAAGCAACACCCAGGTGACCTAACCCTCTCGCCACAAGCCATTGCTTCTCCTTCCGGCGCCAGGTCGGAGCCCTGCACCACGGCGCGAGCGCCTCCCCGCCACCGTGCCCCACCCGCCTGTCCCTGCAGGCGCCGGCAAACAACTTACTTTCTCCCGTGAGATCTTCTTCTTGCCACAGCCATCGCAAGTCAAGGGGAACTTGGGGCAGATCTCGTGGTGGGCCTGAAAGACACGGTCAGGGGCCAGGGTGTGTGCGAGGTCACCCATGCCGTCTCACGGCCTCGTTCTGGGGCGGCGGTTCCCCTGAGACCTCCAATGGGGTGGGTCCTGCAGGCGCTCAGAGGCCTCGGAGAACCGCCTCTTCGTCTGGCAGCTCCAGGGCAACGCGAGAAGGACGAGCCAGCAACGGTGACTCGGGGAGAACACTGCTGCGGGTCACCCTAACTGAAACTGGGCCACGAACGGTGCCAATGGCCGCTCTGGCCCCGAGGCGCAAGGCTGGCGGGACTGACCACGGCCCTGCGAGGGGATGGAACGCCTCCGGGAAGCCACCCCTGGCGGCCCGATGCACTCTGGCCCTCGGCAGGCCACTGCACTGAACGGCTTACAGACGAGGGGACTGAGGAACGCAGCAAGGGCTCCTTGGGGACGCGGTCGGCCGACAGCGCAGCCCAGCTTCTTTAATAAATAGCAGCAAAGGAAAGGAAAGACACCCGCGGAGCACCATGAAAGATGAAGAGACCCCGCAGACACGTCATCGAGGGGCAGTGTGGGGACAGATGCTCACAGACGTCAACGAACATGGGCAGCGAGTGAGTCAGGGACAGCAGGGAGTCGCCTCAGAAGTAACAGTAACACATACAGCTCTCCAGAAACAAACATGCTCAGAAACAGTCTCAAGGATTTTCAGGGAGAACGACACAAAGCCTGGGACCCACGCACCGAGCGTGGGGAGCCCGCAGCAGCCCGGCGAGTGCCGACACGGACACGTGTGAGTGAGGGTGGCATGGGCCTTGCACCGCTGCTCTGTGTGTGCGTTTTTCTAAAATAACAACTGAGCTTTGCCTTCATACCCAACGCAGTTCCCCGCCCAGAACCTTCTACCTAAGTGGCTGCAAGGGAAGGGCTGGCGGCATGCAGCGAAAACACCAAACCAGCCGCGATGGCAGCAGTCAGCTCTGCGCCGTGGCGACAGCCCACAGGGCGCCCTCACCTTCATGTCTGCCCAGCAGCAGGGCGCCCGGCAGTGCCTGCAGCTGAGGCTTCTCTCCGGGCACTCGTGCTCCGAGTGATGCTCCTTCTCCCCGAGGCGAACCAGGCCTTTGCATGCCGAGCACTCGGTCAGCATGAACGGGCAGTGTCCTTCATGGCAGCTCTGGCAACAAAGGGAGCAAAAGTGTTGACAGAGCGCACAGGGGAACCTACAGGCTGCATCACTGGGCTCCGCGTGTGCACAGAGACAGCCGCCCTGCCGAGGGCCACTGGGACCCTGCACCAACCCCACAGTGCCAGGCTAGGGGTGCCGCTCCACGTGCCAAGAATCTCATCCACTGCAATACCTGTGCTCCGGGCCAGAGGCGAGTGGCGCTCAGGTCGAGCTGGTTGCATGTGACACCCCAAAACAGCCCTCCCTGGGCATGCTCCAGAGTGACATTCAGGGACAACAGGACCACTGTCCAGACAGTGAGGGGGCCACAGAGGGCAGGGACAGTGTGGGGTAGAGAGAGGCAGGAGCAGAGGGAGGGCACTCCAGGGGGCGACAGAGCCCAGGCCCCAGGCGGAGGGCCTAGAGCAGGGCCGCTTCTAAGTGGACAAAAGGCCCAGGGGTGACGAGAGTCTGTGTGCTGGCAGGACAGGCCACAGCAGCCAGACTGGGAGCCTACCTGCTTGTGCCAACACCCTCGCTGACAGCCCGCACCGGTGGTGTGGCCGGAGAGGGTGTGGCGACGTAGGGAAGCAGGGCCCAGCCCAGGACCCTCCAGCTGACAGCACCCAGGAGGAAGGCGGGCATGGGCTGCCCCTTCTGGAGCCACAGAACCACATGCAGGTGGGAGCAGGAACCCAGCCGAACCCCCAGGTGGTGGCTTTCCTGAGCGGGGAAGGTGGTGGCAGAAAAGCCGGGGAAGGTGGCGGCAGGAAGGACCCGAAGCCCATGACCCAACACAGCCTGCAGGTCCATGGCAGGTTTGCCAGGAAGGGGAACTGCAAAGGGGCGCAGGGTGGAGGAACAGGGAGCTCAAGGTCTGTCTCTTGTTAAGTGCCTTTTATTGTGGTAAAACACACACGACAAACTTTACCATCTTCACTGCTTTTAAGGGCGTCCGTGTGTTCACACTGCTGTGCACCGACCCCTCCGTCCGTCCCCAGAGCACGGTCATCTTTCCACACTGGACCCTGTCCTGTTAAACCCTGCCCCCCCCACCCCCCCCCCCCCCGCGTCTGTGGGGCCGACTCCTCCGGCCTCCCGGGGGTTTCCACTCACACACGGGATTGGTCCTTCTGTGCCGGGCTGACCTCACTCGGCACCATGTTAAGTTTTGGGCAGGACACACTAGGGCACATTGGGGACAACGTGGAGCCCGCTGCGGAAGGAGGGGGGGGTCACTGTGAGAGAAGTTCTGGACTGGCCCAGAGCAGGAGGAGGCCCTCCACCGTGGGCTCAGCATCTCCACAGAAGTCTGGGCAGGGGCAGCCAGGCTGCGATGCCCTCCCGAGGGACTGGGCCTTCAGGGCTGCCCCGGAGAGCCTGGTCGCGGCACACTTGAGGGGGGCAGGGAGGGCCTCAGACGTGCTGCTCCCGAGCGGGAAACACGCTGGCCGTGTCTCCATCTCGTGCCCCGGGCTTGGCTGTAGGCGCCCAAGCCCAGCACTTGCAGAGGGAGCAGAAGCAATGGGTGAGCTCCAGAGAGACGCAGCCCATGCGCGGTGCCACTCCCGCCAGTCTTCCCACATGGAGACTGCAGAGTCACGGCCGCGGGGCCCACACCTCCTCACAGGACCCCACGCCACAAGCTCCCGGAGCAGGCACCCCTGCCCGCTGACCTCCCACGGGGTCACACCCCAGACCAAATGCCACACTCCCAGCAAGCCTCCCCAGTGACCCCACGGCAGCCCAGCAGGGCACCCCACAGGCTGCCACGCGAGGTCTGCTGTCCGAAGGACGCACACCAGGCCGGCCGGCCAGGACACCCCCTGCCGCACGACGCCCCGGACGCCGTGGCCCAGCAGAGGAGCACTCCTCCGCTGTCGCTGCAGCCTGCTGGGCTCCCTGCCGGACGGCCTAGCCCCCCCGATCCACTTGCACTGCAGCAGAGCATAACCTCCTGGAACCCCCAGGGCTGTGGCAGATGGACCGCACCGCCTGGGCCACACCAAGTACGTGATAAACAATCACAGTGAACCAAGGAGGAGTCCCAGAGATGGTCACAGCTCACAAAACGGCAAAGATACAGCACCTATAGTCAAGGTGCTGGGGTTTGATTAGGACTGTTGTTGAACGTACAATAAAATACCTGCAGGAGCGACGTAGGGGCCCCAAAGCAGCACAGAGCGGCCAAGGGTACACAGTGCTCTGCGGACTGCCACCCCGGTGGTGTGTCTGACATCGGAGACCTGCACACCTGTCACCCCAGGGCCGCCTCTGAGCAGACACACAGCACCACCTCATGGGCTCAGAGGGACCACCCTCGCGTCGGCTCCAAGAGAAGCACACACTTTGGAGAAATCAGTATTTATTCAACCAGAATTCAAACCAAGTGTCCCAGCGAACAGAGCTGTGTAGACTCTGAACTTACTGGGATGCGTGGGGTGACCAAGCATGCCTGGCTCGGCCTTGCCTTTCAACTGCGGCCTCCGGGCACCTAGGTCTCCTCTCCAGGCCCTTCTCCGGAGAGCCTTCCCCCCGCCAGCCAGCCCCCTCCTCTGCCGCCAGCCACAGGCTCTAGGCTCTAGGCCCGTTCCCAGAGCAGCAGCCCGGGGGCTGTGCACTGGGGCACCTTCAGCACTTGGCAGGCGCTCCACAAATGTCTTTGACCTGAACCGGAGTTTTAAGTCATTGCATTCTTAGAAAATACTAGACATGTCGCAAGGAAAATCACATTCAAAGGCTAACCAGGACTTTCCAAACAGCTCAGCCACAGCACCAGCATTTCACAATGCCACCACGAGTTCGAGCACCCCAAAGGGCAGCCGTGTTGGCTCGGAGTGGCGGGCGGGTGTGCTCGGAAGCCTTGATCTCGCCCAAGCCTGTGACATTCACAGCCAGGGAGAGGTTTTACCAAAGGGCCAGGCCTAGTGTCCCAGAGCAGCGCCCGCCCTCCCACATGACCAAACCCACCCTCTCAGGGACTTTCCGGGGCTCTCCGGGCCAGCCAGGGACTTTCCAGCCTGCATGCCTGCAGGGCTGTGGCCGAGCCCACAGGCTGGCTGTGGTCCCTGGCCCTCAGCTGGAGACCCATGAAGCCACCGCCTGCCCGCACCACGGGCCTGGAGGCAGCAGAAACCAGCCTCCCAGAGTGGAAGGTGGGGGTTATTCCACCTGTCCCCAGGGGGGTTTCTGGGTCCCTGCAGAAGGCAGCACAGCTCCCCGTGTCTACGCCCTGTGTCCCCCATGGTCTCCTACACCCACCCAACCCCCAGAGCCTGCTGGGGCTCTCCACCCTCCCAGGAGAGACCCCAAACCCAAGGCCTACTCTCTGGACAGCCCCAGGCAGTAACAGCTGCAGAGCAGAACCTCCCACCTGCATGTATGCAGCCCAGGGGCCTCTGGGTCTCACTCCTAGGAAGGCATCAGAAAGGGCGTGGGGAGCCCAGAGCTGCTTCACTTCTAGGCCTCAGGTGCCCACTGGAAGGAAAGTGCATCTCCTAGCCTACCCCACCAGAGGCTCCTCCCTAGACACGGCCAAGCTGCTCCTCTGGAAACATACAGCTTACAGCCTGAAGACCAGAAAGTCTGGTTGGTCAAGAGAATGAGGGAAGTTCGGCACACAGGCCGGGAGCAGGAAGGGGGAAGGCTGCTAGGAGCTCAGGTCTCACTTCCAGCCCCGACGGGCCCTCCGCCACTATCACGACTCAGTCTCCAGCGCCCACCTCATGGCAGGGGCTATCCTGGGGTCGGGGCAGGAGAGTGCCTGAGCTTAGGAGAGCCAGGGTTCCACACCCAACAGCCCCTCCAGCCTCGCCAACAGGGCTGTCCATTGTGAGAGGCCAACCTGCTACTCTGCACCACTCCCGCCCTCCTGTCCGGGCAGCCACCCTGCCCCTTCCTGCCTCTCTAGCCCTCACAGGAGCGGACTCCCACAGGACATGTCCTCGAGGATGGGCTCACTTCACTGAGCATGATGGCCTCAAAGTCCACCCACATGTCAGGGTTTCCTTCTTTCCTTTTTATGGCTGAATACTATTCCATGGTGTGGACAGACCACATTTGGTTTGTGTCTTCATCTGCTGGTGGACACCTGGCTACCAGGACGTTTGTGTGCCACTAACCGTCTGATGCGCTAGTTAAGAAGAGGGGATGGCCAAATGCGTGAGCTATGGAGGCTGCCTGCTGTAGGCCTGGCCTCTAGCTGCCAATCACGCAGAAGCCCCCACCGGAGGCTGACAGAGGCCTCGGCAACATAGGCACACCAGCCCCTGCCCTGTCACTGGCCAGGTGACTTTCTGTGATCACAGACCAAATGTGCGGCTTACTCTCGCAATTTCCAATGTCTGTACAATTCAAAATGAGAAAGCCCTTGTCTGAAAACATACGACCAAAAAAGCTCCTTTCCTGCACATTCCGGGAGATGCTGCAGCGGTGCCCTCAGGGCGAACACGAGGTCTGCCACCCTCTACAGCATTCCGCCCAGCAGGAAATGGGGCCCAGCGAGGTAACTCCCCCTTCTGAGGCACGATCCCCCTAAGTCTGCGTGCACCTACGGGGAGCAGCTAGGCGCTCCCTGGCGGGCTCGTGTAGACTCCGTGTGATCATTTTAGGGGCGGGGTTCAGGCTTGGGAGGCCGTGCCAGCACAGGGGGCCCCTACCTCATACTCTTTAAGAGTCCCCTTCCAGGTGCAGCCGTCGCTGGGACAAACGGCCGGCAGGCTCTCCACCTCCCTGCGTGCAGCGTTGTCTGGGAAAGCCTAAGGAAAGCATTCCTAGGGTTAGGCCGCCTCCTCCCAGCTGCCCGCCACCCTGCCCCGCCATCAGTGCTGCAAGTCTTCCAGACTGAGGCCCAGGACCAAGACGCTCTCTCCCAGCGAGCGCTCCAAGCTCTCGGCGTGACCGTGGCAGGGAGGGCCGCATCCTAGCTGCTCAAGCGCCACACAGCCAGCGGTGTTGTTAAAAGAAACGCCAAAACATTTTCTGTTCATTCTGACATTTTTTGCTTGAAGACTTTTCACTTACCGAACCGCTTTCCAAAATGGAAATGCCTTCTTCATAAATGCCCTCGTGAACGCAGGCAGCACAGTTCTGAGGCCCGGAGCTAGTGAGGAAAGGGGGAAAGGCCCACCATCAAACCCGCTGCAAAGAACGCTGTGTGCAACTCTCCACCCGAGTTCTGCGCCTTCCAGACTGACACCGCATCACTCAGGAGCACGCATCGACGTACCACGGTGAAAACCTTTAAAATGGGGGACAAGATCCAAACCCTCTAATCATGTCGATCCCTTCCACTGTGAACAGAGGTGCTCTCTGATGGCCCACCACTCGGGGCCAGGTCCCCAGGAAGGAGCTGCTGGCTCCCTGCGCCCACCCCAGCCCTCCATGTGCCACGGGGCCCCGCCCTCAGACTAAAGGCTGTGGGCTCTTGGGGACGTGTTCATCATCTGGAGTAGCACATCCACTGCAAACGGTCTTGTGCCCACGTGACAAACTAGGAACAGCCGGGAACGGACTGTGACGTGTTTATTTCAGCCCCACATCCAAGTCCACGTGCAACCCGTCCTCCTCCGTCACTAGCGTCACGCTCTCGTTTGCAGCGAACCTCTGCCGTCAGAGAGCACCACCCGGAGCACATCCCCTGCGGACGCGTGCGTGCCTGGAGCCGCCTCCCGGGGCAGCACGGCCCCGAGGCGAGCCCCACTGCCCGCTACCCGCGCGCAGTACCTCAGGATGCTGGTCAGACAGTAGGAGCAGTAGCGGTGGCCACACTGCGCCTGGAAAGGCCTACGCAGGATGTTCCTGCAGGCCGAGCACAGGTACTTGTCCTCCAGCTTGGTCCCCAGGAGGGTCTTCGAGAAGCCAGGTTGCAACAAGTCTAGGGAGCCGGGAGGGGTCACGCTGGCTGCAGCCATGAGAGCCGCAAACCGCCACGTCCTAAGGAAGAACACAGAACGCGTCCTGGAGAGTCCTAAGAGGTGCCTCAACTCCAGGGTCCTCCTCTAGGGAAAACAGCCCTTGCCCGGCGGTGAGGTGCCTGGGTTGTCAAGCTACTGGTGGTCAAGAATCTGAGAAGCAAGACTTTAGCACTCTGGAGAGCGTTGGAGACAATCTAATCCAAGTTCCCACTACACGCATGGAAGCCAAGGCTTAGCCAGGGGGCAACCTGCTCACGCCGCACCAGCATGCCCTCCTGAAGCCTCTAGACCAACAGGCTGTTCTCAAGGTCACCCAGCCTACCACGGACAGAGCGTGTGCCGGCATCGGAGGATGCCACCTTCCCGCCAACACTGGCCATCCGCAGTCCTTGATCCTTGTGCCTTCCTGTCTAGCCCAAGCTTCCTACAAATCAGCCCGGCAGGAAATTCTGACCAGCTGTGCTCGGTCTGAGGCAGTAGCCAAGAGGTAGCCACCCTACACACTGGCCTCCAATGTCACCCGAGAGGAGGCATGTAGCCTGCTTGGCACCACTGCTCTGCTCCCCGGCCACCGTCACTAGGGTCCCTCTCACTTGAGAGCTGCCCTCTGCTATCCTCCAGGCCTTGGCAAGGCCCCCAAGGCAAGGCAACCAGGACGCACAGCTGGATGGCAGAGAGGCTTCCACAGCATTCTGAGACCTTGCACGGAACGCACTGTTCAATGTCCAGCATCTCAAAAGCAACTGTACTGCTAACCCTTAAAAAAGGACAAGCCCCCGACAGCCCCTGAACATGAAGCACTATTAACTCAGAGCCGCCCTGGCCCCTTTGCAAATGCTCCAAAGAGCTTCCTTCCCCAAATGCCCCTGGAAACACGTCCCTGGGTCTTCTCCCGGATGTGCATGGGGAGCACATCAACTTCCAAACCAGGACATTCTGAAATGATGTGCCTCTTTCCTATGTCCATAAGGCGGTCTTCAGTGTCCTGAGCTGGTCGGACACCACAGAAAGCAGCGACAGACAGTGTGTCCCTGTTTCCTATCTACTGGGCAAAGCCACTTTCAGTCAAGGCTTCTGGATTTGTAATCTGTGAGGCCCTGCTTGGGCTGGCATGCCAGAGCACACAGGTTATAGTTTTATAACCTGCAATTACTCCTCCAACCACTGGACAGATGGAGGGTCGTGCCCACGGCCACTCAGCAGGATGGCACGAGTCCCTCTCGCTGGTCCACACACTGTCAGCACGTGTGGGCGTGTCTGGGCCCCTGGACCATCCATCTGTCCCTCTGACAACTGGGGGATTTCATTCTTTCGAGCCCTCATGACACAGACATGTGGGCACTAGAAAGTGCCACTTAATAAAGCCTTCGGTGGAAAAGCTAACCCAAAAGTTGGAGAGCTCACGGATGCACTAACAGTGCTGGCCAGGGCAACCAAGGAGGGAGGACGCCCTCAGCCCACATTTTTCAAAGCCATGTTTGTGCTACACACAAATACTGACTAGAACAAAGGACCCGTGAAAGTCTGCTTACTCTCAGGCATTCTGCACATTCTGTCTTTTTTCTGGTCACGCTACCAAATTGATTTCACGAACCATCAATGATTTGAAAATCACTGCTCTATAAACTACATTAGACAGAGACTTTTACCTTTAAATAATACTAGTGGGAAAAAAAAGGCACACTCTTTAGATCTCTACCTTATGTTCAACTCATTAAGTGAAAAAGAGCATCACATATAAAGGATGCTAAATTTAGTCCTGTTTTATACGGACAGAGAAAAAAAGCAAAATAAGAAACCAACACCACCATGACAGGGCACAAGGGCTACAGGGATGCTTTTCTCATCTTAAAACCTCACCGAACAGCTTCCCTCAGCATCTGTGAGACAAGGCTTTATTCTTTGGCATTGATGTTCCATCTACTTGAAACCAGGCCCATCTTTTTGGCCGACTGATCACTCCTGTGGCAGACTGAACTCATTTTACTAATCCATCAACGTGTACTCCTGTTAGATATAAAAGAACCACACAAATGGTCTCTTTTTCCAAGTGATGAAAAGGTGAAAGGCCGCAACACACAGCCAGGCCTCGATGACCTCATCAACACAGCCTACTGAGCAGTCACAACTCCCGGACACAGCACCCCCCTGACGGTGGGGGTATTTCTGTTCTGAATGTGGAGAAGTGGCCCTGGAGAGCCCAAGGAGCCCACCCACACCACGCACCAGCCCACAGGTCCTGCCACTGCCCATGCTGTGCTTGCGGAGTTCCCAGCTTACGTCCTTAAATGTGTGATTCAAATCTCATTCATACACATTTGATCTTTTGAGAACTGTAACGAAAAGACATCATAAAGACTCAAAAGTGTTGTGCCAAATGTAACACTTTGAGGGACACCTGGGTGGCTCAGTCGTTAAGCATCTGCCTTCAGCTCAGGTCATGATCCCAGGGTCCTGGGATCGAGTCCCACGTCGGGCTCTCTGCTCAGTGGGGAGCCTGCTTCTCCCTCTCCCTCTGCCTGCTGCTCCCCCTGCTTGTGCTCTCTCTCTGTCAAATAGATTTAAAAAAGTTAAAAAAAAAAAAAGTAATACTTTGAAGGCCATCAACACTAAGTCCTGCTGCTGTGGTGTGGTGCTTGCCCCAACCCTAGAAGACTTCCCTGTCTCTGGCCCTGAACTTCTGAACCTCTAGGTGGTCTGCACACGTCCACCCATCTGGAATTACATGGGGCCTGGGGGCCTCCCTGGGTGACCAGCGCAGCCAGCAGCACCAGACACAGGCGCCGAGGACTGGGGGGGGCGGGGGGGCAACCGGCTATACTGCATGTAGGAGAAAAGGACTCAGGAGTCAGAAGCACCCCAACCTAGAACCAAAACGCCCTACTGGTCCTGTCAAGCTTCCAAATCCTCTCGTGGGTAAGCTGGTTACAAACATTTGCAATGATTCGTGGGAACAAGCATTCCCATTCAGCCTGTCCTGGATTTCATATTCATTCCCCAAAATCAAGCTTCAGACGTGAATGCACACACTTCGTACAACCAACAGATTTGTGTTTTGTTAAAAGACCATTTCTACCAGAGAGAAAACAGTATGTCCAGAATGGTTCCAGTTATCTGAAGTTTGAGGACAGACAAAGCTGGCCTGTGATAACAGAAGCTGGGAAGCAATCCCCTTTGGCGCCATGGGGCTGTGACACACTGGAGACTTGCTCCTCTTCCCTGTTCCTAGCACAAAGCTCCTAAAACCCCTGGGATTTCCCGAGCCACGGGGACAGGGAAGCCTCTCTGTTTTTCATAAGCCCCTTCCACATCTGCCCCCCACCACCAGGGAGGGGGGAGGGGCTGGAGATTGACCTAATCACCAATGACCAATAATTTAATCAACCATGCTTTCATGACGGAGCCCCCATAACCTCATGAAGAATGAGGCTCAGAGCTCCACAGTGCTGAGAGAGGGGTGTGCTGGAGGGCATGGAAGCTCCGCGTCCCTGTCCCACACCTCGCCCTGTGCATCTCTGCCATCGGGCTGTTTCAAGGAACTGGTGTTTGCTGGAGTTCTGTGAGCCACTCTAGAAACCACTGAACCCAAGGAGGGGGTCCCAGGAACCACATATTTGGTGTCAGAAGTACCGTGAGTAGAGAAACACAGCCATTTCCCATTCAGGGGGTCAATGCCTGCAAGAGGCAGGAGGGGGCCTTTTGGGGTGCTGGAAATGACCGTATATGTCGACACAGGTTCATCTAGCTGTATTCTTGGGATTTGCACATTTTGCTGCATGTATACCTCAACTTCAAAAAAAAAAAAAAAAGATGGAATTTCTATCCCCAAAGAGTCAAAAAAGGCCTTTAAATCCCTAATTATGGTACACCCATGCATGTTTATCCAAAATAACCCTGTCTCATAACATTAAAAATGGCAGAGCAACCTGAAAACCAGGTTCTGACATGGAAGGGTTAGGGTTAGAGTCGGGGCGTCCAGCCCCTTGACAAGCCCAGGTTCTGCGTCAGTGCAGAGCAGGAGGACCCAGGGAGAGGGGCGTCCCCACGAGGAACCACCGGCTGAGCTGGAGGCCACAGGGCAGCTGGCACCACTGTCCCAGCCTGGGGCATGAGATGGGGTAGTGGTGTAAGTCCCCAAACTAACATCACATGAGACATGGGAGCACCTGGCTGCCGGGGTGGGCGTCATCAAGCCGCCAGGCAGGCACAGGGGTTCAACCCTCAGCCTGTGATACCCCAAACGCCAGGGACTCAACTTCCCAAATTCATGTCCTCACTGACAGCCAGTTCTGTTTTGTCCAATACTGGGATTCCATGCCTGATTTTACCTGGTCCAACCCAGTTCCAACACACCTGCCTAACAAGCCCACTGAAGCAATATTCGAGAAGGCCAATCGGCATGCAGCTGGGAGCACAAGACAACCCCCTCCCCCCTGCCCGGAACTAGAAATCCAGTTTAAAATATATAATTTTATACTTAAGTTCATCTTTTTCCAGGCTCAGCATAATGCCAAATAGTAGCCTGGTACCAACTTCACGCCCAACAACTTGTTTCCATCGCGAGCAGATACTGTGGGGGAGCGTTTCTAGTCTGAAGTGCTGGCTCACATGTCTTCACACGATCTACATGCTGATACTGAGTGTCTATGATTCAAAACCGGGGCTCTCTCAACAGGGACAGGGTGATCCGTCAGTCATGATGCAGCAACTCTGTCCCTTCTTCCGCCTGACCCAAGTGGCCACCCTGCTCCCCCGCCCCTCTCCCTGACCTGTCAGTGCCCGCACTTCCCCCTGCCCCGAGAGCTGGCAGCCCACCAGCTCAGCCCATCGGCTGCTCCAGCCACACTCTGAGACCACTCTCTCATCCACTCTCCTTGAACAGCTCCGCCCTCCACAAACACCCGGAATCTGACTGCACTGCGACTGCTGGGCCCTGGCCGCCGTCCCCCGTGACCTGATACACAGCCACAGCCTCTTGTGGTCCTCCCGGCAGCCAGAGGGACCTTTGGCTGGGACTCAGTTACTCTACCCTCACATTCCAAGGCTTCCCAGTGGTTCTGCCCGCCACCCTGCCTGTCCAAGGGGTCATGGCTTCTCAGCAAGGCCTTCCCTCTCACCGGTCATGAAACTGCACTGTGCGGGCCTGTCTCCTCTGGATAATAAGCTAAGCACCAGGAGGCTGGGACCCAGGCCTGTGCATGGGGCACTTGCCGCCCCAGGCTTCCCAGGCTCCCGGCTCCTCCATGGACTCCTACACGCCCATTAATCTAGCCTTTCCTCCACACCATTTCAAACGGGGCACCCCGATCCTGGAACGTGTACAGGCCTTCCCTTCTGAGGTACCCCCCTATTCTACCTCCTACCCCCATCCCTGCTGAGTACTCACCTTCCTAAACCACAACCAGGTCACAAGACCACCAGCTCCACTTGCCCCTGGAGCCCTGACGGGAAAGTGGCCTCAAGCCTGTTCCTGCTCAGACCCTGGACGGCTTCCGGAGTCTGCCTCTTGCACCCCCCTCCGAGGCTCAGACCCTCTGTGCAGGGGTGGGACACTGTGTGGCACAGTGACGTGTCTTCCCTGTGGACTCAAGGGCCCTCCCCACAAAGGAGCAGGCCCAGCGCACGGAGAGTGGCACAGCAAGCACGGGCCGGACCCCAGAACACCATGGAGGTGCGCACCCCACTCCTGGCGGCCTGTGTGCGGTCCGGGCGTCATTTTCTCTGGATTTTCTTTCCTGGACCTTCTTGCCTTTGGCTCTACACACGTTCACGATGTCCTGCCGTGGACACCCGCGCCAGCGAGCTGAGCACGCTGGGGGGAGGGTGGGCAGGCGGGCATTTCCCGCTGCCAGAGAGGGACCCGGATCCGATTCTCCAAACACAGAGTGAAAAGGCCTTCATCTTCTTGGAGACGATGCCTTCTCTGGAACAAGTGCCCCGTGAGAGCTGTGCCCCAGTCCCCAGGTCCCACCGTGGCCACCTACTCCTGCAGGTCCTCACAGAAACGACGTCTACACTGATTTCCCCGGGGAAGTTTAAAAAACCACTCAACAGAGAGAGAAGCCCTGGCTGAAAGCCCCCTGCCCTCGGAGCCCCCAAGGTGGCCAGCAAGGTGTGCAAGAGCGAGGGGCACGCACAGCCGCAGCACGTCTCTACAGGCTCCCGTCCTGCACTAGGCGTGGTGCTGAGGACGCTGAGGCAGTTAACGGGCCGGGACCACACAGCACACCGCGGCCACAGGACGCAGAGGCCTGCGACACCGCAGAGCATGGAAGGACATGTGGCGCAGACTGGGCATGTCAGGAGGCACCGGCAAGCAAAAGGACCAGCACATGGGGGGGCCCGGGGGCACGGTTGGTTAGGTGTCTGACTCTTGGTTTTGGCTCAGGTCATCTCGGGATCCATCGAGCCCTGTGTCAGGCTCCGTGTGCCCTGCTGGAGAGTCTCTCTCCCTGTGCCCCATGCTCAAGTGCCCTCACTCCCTCTCAAATAAATATGACCAAAAAAAAAAAGGACCTGCACAGAGGCCCAGTGTGCCCAACGTCCCAGTGCATGCCTTTGGGAGCTACGGCTTCAGGGGGCTGGGCTTTATTCTGAGAACCGGGCGCCCAGGGAGAGGGGCTGCCCAGATGTGTGGAAAAGCCACCGCTGGAAGCACTTAGGGCCTCTGTGGCTTGCAGAAGGCTTGAAGCTAAGCAACTCTTAGCGTTTTGTTTTCGATTCAAGCTTTAGTGAATACTGTGGCACGTAAGTCGTACTGCACCGATGTGAGGCTGGCTGCGACTTCCACGTAAAACCCACCCCTGCGTGGACAGACACCACGGCCCTCCCACACTGCCAGGCTCCAGGGAGGGCGCCTGCTCTCCCGCACACTGCTGTCCTGGGCTCTCCACTGCCACGGACCCCTGAGCAGACAGTTCGGAGTCGCCCCACTGCAGGATCGTACCCCAGTGCCGAAGGTCACCCCCATGTCCTCACCGCGCAGCTCCTGCAGGCACACAGGGCGCCCCGCCTGTACTCACGGGCGTCGGGAGGCCACGGGGCTGGGACAGGCACCGTCATGGTACAGGTGATCCTTGAACCACGGGGATTTGGCTCGGACACACACATTTTTAACAGCCAGGGCTGTAGAGGTACTTTCTGTCCCTTACGCTTTTCTTATTACCGTTTTCTTGCCTCTAGCTGACTGAGGGGACGAGGATACACAACACACACGACGTACAAAACATGGGTTGACTGTCCCTGCTCCCCCGCGGCTGCTGGTGCAGCTGGTAAGGGGTCAAAAGCCACAGGCGGTGCTGCAGCGGGTGAGCTGCTCAGAACGACACGGGGGAGTGTGGCCGCGCGCAAAGACGCGGACGTCCGCGAGGCACTCTCTGTCCTCTCGCCTCTGCAGGGCTTGGCGCCCAACCCCCAGCGCGTGCAAGGGTCAAGTGCAAGGCCACTGACCCAGAGGGGCCTCCAGGCCCAGCGGGCGCCGCAGGGGCAGAGGGGGCGAGGGCGGGGCGTGACCCGCACGCGCAGGGGGCCGGTCCCCCTCCGACGGGTCAGCAGCCCCGCCGGGGCTGGGGTCGGGGCGCACAGGCCCGCCAGCGGCTTCCTGGCCGCTGCGCCTGGAGCGGGGGAGCGTGCGGCGCGCTGACCCCGGGCCGGGGCCCTCCCCCCGCCGGAGCCGCCGTGGACGCCCGCGGGCGTTCGCGAACTTTCTTGCGCCGGGCCCGCTCCGACTTTCGGTTTCCGGGCGGCCCAGCTCCGAGAAATCCCCTCAGGCCCGCGGGGCGGCCACCCCATCTGCAGGCCCCGACTCCCCGGCGCCACGCGCGCCCGCCGCCCCGGCCCCGGCCCCGCCGCCGCCGCCGCCGCCGCCGCCGCCGCCGCCGCCCCCCCCAGCTGACCCTCGACCCCCGACCCCCGACCCCCGCGGCTCCACTCACCAACGGTCGCCGCGCGCCCGGAACTGCGCGCCCGCCCAGCCGCCGCCGCCGCTGCGGACCCGCCCCCGAGCCCGCCTGATTGACTGGCGCTGGGGCCTACCGGAAACGCCCAGCGAGCCGTAGCGGGCGCCGATTGGTCAGATCTCCCCCCCCCCCCCCCCCCGCTTCGGCCCGCCCCCCCGACGGACTGACGCCAGACCCTATCGGGAGCGCGCCGGGAGGCCGCAGCGGGCGCCGATTGGTCGGAGCTGCCGCGACGTGGGCACTTAAGTCGAGCCCCGGCCCGGTCCCTGCGAGGTCCGCGGATCGCGGGTGCTGGCGCGGCGCGGCGGGGCGCGGGCCGCTGGTGGGCGGGGAGCGAACCTCCTGCGGGAGGCCCTTCTGTGCACTTCATCTCCGGGGAGCCTGCTCCATGGGCAGCGCCTTCCCTTCCCCGGAGCCCGGCTCAGAGCAGGACTCCAGTTTGGGTTGCAATTCTGAGAAGTACAAAAAAACCCTGCTCAAAGAGCGGGAAGGATAGCAGGTCCCCCGTCGGGGTAGTGAAATGTTCTAGAACTGGATGGCGGCGATGGTTGCCCAACACTATGAATGAACAAATGCCACTGAATTGTACCTTTTAACGTGGTTTAAATGGTGGGTTATTTGTTGGGCGATTTTTTCCACCAAACAAAGCCAAAAACGCACAACCTAGGGCCTCCAGACACATAAAAATGTGGCACGCACAAACATCTAGAAACAAGGCAGTGGTCTTGGCAGAGAAAGTGGGCTGAGTGCGGACCCCATCCCTGCCTCTGTGTGTGTGACCCGAGGCCAGTCTGTTTCTCCACCTACCAAAGGAGACTATTTCTCACTGAGCGGCGGTTCTGCTAAGGATCTGACAAAGAGCGTCTTGTCTCGTCTCATACTAGTGTTCACAGGTGGCAACTGCTCACTGTACTTGGGGAAAAAAAAGAAATGAAGACTCAGAGAGGTAAGATTCTTTACCCCGGGGGCGCCTGGGTGGCTCAGTTGGTTAAGCGACTGCCTTCGGCTCAGGTCATGATCCTGGAGTCCCAGGATCGAGTCCCACATCGGGCTCCCTGCTCAGCAGGGCGTCTGCTTCTCCCTCTGACCCTCTTCCCTCTCGTGCTCTCTCTCATTCTCTCTCTCTCAAATAAATAAATAAAAATCTTAAAAAAAAAAAAAGATTCTTTACCCCGTCACACAGCACATCCGGCACCCCCACTCTGAGGGGATCATCTAGCAATGGGAACGGTTGTGGGATGGGATAAACCGAAGAACAGGGGCGTCTGGGTGGCTCAGTGGTTGAGCGACTGTGTTCTGCTCGGGTCGTGCTCCCGGGGTCCGGGGATCGAGCCCTACATCGGGCTCCCTGCCTCTCTGCTTGGTGGGGAGTCTGCTTCTCCCTCTCCCTCTGCCTACCACTCCACCTGCTTGTGCTCTCTCTCTCTGTCAAATAAATAAATAAATTCTTTAAAACAAAAACAAACCCGAAAAAGAGGCAGGATTTTTTTTTAAAGATTTTATTATTTATTTATTTATTTTATTTATTTAAGAGAGAGCACAAGCAGGGGGAGCGGCAGGCAGAGGGAGAAGCAGGCTTCCCGCCGAGCGGGGAGCCCGACGCGGGGCTGGATCCCAGGACCCTGGGACCATGACCTGAGCCGAAGGCAGACGTTTCACCGACTGAGTCACCCAGGCGCCCCAAGAGGCAGGCTTTGAAGTGACATGATTTAAATGCTCCACGTTTGGTCCAGAAATGCTGGCATCGTGCATAAGCGTTACTTGGTCTGGAGTCCGAACTCCCCTTTCCAAAGTGCCACATCCTTGGATTCGGCCGCTGGGCTGCCTCGCCTCTGATAGAACTCAGGCAGAGGCCGGGTTCCATGAACTTCGAGGCTGAGTTAGTTTGTCACCAGCAACTCCTCAGTCCAAGCTACAGGTTCAGTGAAGTTTCGTTCAAATCCTGTGACTAAGTGAGCTCCTCCCAGCATCTGGGAGGCCAAGGCTGTCCTGGGAGCCCACCAGCAGCTGGGCAGGAGATGGTTCTTGTTACGAAGAGGAGGTTCACCTGCAGCAGTGGCCCCTCCCTCACCCCTTCCTTCAGGGTGAAATCAGGCAGCTGTCCGCCTACCTTTGTGCGGCAGCTCCCAGAGAGCAGCAGACCCCACTCTTCCAGGATCGGGGACTATGTGGCCCTGAGTCCAGAGGAGATTTCCCTGGCAAAGTTCCTGCCTCCTGGGCAGGCAGCCACTTGGAGACCTCGGCATCTGCAGGGCTGGGCCGATCTTAAAGTACCTGCCGGTGGTTTCAGCGGGAAAATGCTCTTTGACTTTGCCGTTCCTGAGGATTTTCACACACACATTTTTTAAAACTTTTGATTCTGGTGACAGGCCTTTGAGGCATGCAGAGTTGAGAACGGGAGAGGAAACCCCAGCCCAGCCCAGACTGGGAAGTGGCCAACCCGCCCCCGCTGACCAGCTCAGGCCGGGTGACACCTCAGTCCTGGCTGGCTGGAAAAGGGTGACTCACTCTGGTCATCAGGCAGCTCAGGGGATTCCCACTCAGGTTCCTTCCTGCCAAAAAGAAAGCAAAACTCCACCCAAGGCAGCCACAGTGGGAGGGCTTGGGGAGGGCCTGAGGCAGCCCCAAGCAGACCGGGGAGGGCCCACATCATGCTCCCACTGCTCCCTGAAGCCTGGGGTCTTGGAGGCAGCAGAGGGCCGCTGTCCTGGGCCTCAGTGCCCCCCAGAGAGAGGCATGGGCCCGGCTGCAGATCGGGGTCCACGCTGCTGCGGACGCGGGAGAGCCCACCAGCTGCCCGCTGGGCCTGTGGACTCCTGCACCCACTCTACCAGACGGCCCGATGGCTCTCGAGGCAGGCAGCCTGCCTCCACCGCCTCTGTCTCCCCTTCCCGTGGCATCCCCTGTGCCCCAGACGCTTCTGAACGCTTGCGGCACCTCCTCTCCCAACAGGGCATGGCTGTCCCCCCTCAGAGGCCCTCACCTCGTCCTTTCCTCACTCAGGCCTTTGGGAATACAGACAGAAGCTGGCACACGGAGCCCCAGGCAGGAAGGCTGACCCAGCCCCCCGCCCCCGGCAGCACCCCAGACACAGGATGCCCCTCGTGTGCCCAGTTCTGTCCCCGGAGGAGGGATGCCTGCTCGGCAGCGCTTGCCCCGCGAGGACGGGCTCCCTCACCCCACACACCCCGGCTCCCGCCCTAACAGCCCGGCTTTCTCCTCCTCTCATTTCCCAGACATGTGATGGTGAGCCCGGGGCTGCAGCTTCTGGAGGAAGCTGGTCTCGCTCTCACTGTGCAGTCATCTGACGGTGCCTTTCCAGAAGGCCAGCCAGGAGGGGCTCCCCCCGCCCCCAGAGTGCACAGCCACCGCGGCCCCTCCCCCAGGGCAACCTCCTCAAAAAGAAGAAACACACAGGGTGGTGAGGTGAGAAACACAGAGTGCTGGGGCAGGCCGGTCCTGGGGGCATCCCAGAACAGCGGGGAGGAGGAAGCCAGGCCTCGGTCTTGAAGGGCCAGCCCCGAGCTGCCCCCCAGCAGTGTGAGCCCATGCTGAGCGCTGCTGGTGGAGAAGAGCACGTGGCGGTGGCCCACGTGTGCGGGACACAGCGTCCTCTGTGGGCAGAGGTGGACGACTGTCTCCGTGCCAGTTCGTACTGTCTGTAGACTTGGAGAGACACAGGGAAAGTAATAAAAGCGGGGAGGAGGGAAGAGGAGGGGCATGCTCACTATACAGCGCCCCACCTGATGATATTACTGCTTGGAAAACAGTTGTTTTAAGCAACAGAAGCTCACTTCAGAAGCTCTGTAAAACACAGAAGAAAGCAAAGATCACCCCAAATTCCCCGGAAACTCTGCAGATGCCCTACTCCATTTAACACCCGCCTCCCTTCAGCCAGCCTCGGAACACAAATGCCAGACCACACCCCGGAGCCAAAGGCCCAGGCGACAGCCTCACATGCGGAATTAAAAATGCCCAGGCTGGGGGCGCCTGGCTGGCTCAGCTGGTAGCGCGTGCGACTCTTGTTCTCTGGCTTGTGAGTTTGAGACCCACGCTGGGTGTAGAGATCACCTGAAAAAAATGCCCAGGCTGCCCTGGCCATCCCTAGCCTCTGCTTACCAGGCAGGCCTGGCCCCGGGGCCTTTGCGCCAGCCAGCCCTCACTGGGACCAGCTCGCTGCCTCTCCCAGGTGCTTGGCCCCTGCCTGGGCCCTCTGCAGGTCTCAAGGTCTCCAGATAAAGAGGAGTCTCTCTGCTGGTGGCCTTGTGTTAAGACGGTTTCCCGTCCCCTCACCCCATGTGACTACAATCAGGTTGTGAGTTTTTCTCCTCCCCCAGATGTGGGTCCCCCGAATTCCGTGGTCCCTCCGGCCTC